TGTAAGAAAGAAAGTTAATGGGCTCCACAGCTCCATTTAGGAGGGTAGCCCTGATGGCCATAAGGATGTCAGGGTTCTAACTGACCTATCCCTGTGAGGCTTCGGTAGGGAGGCTCTGCCTGATGTGTGAAGGAGTAGCAAGGTGCATTTGCTGAGTTCTCAGAGCCAAAGATAGCACTGACTTAGAAATTTCATGTAAAATGAGTAAAACACATCTCTGTGTTTCTTAATTTCTGTAGTAATTTAATGATTATGTTTCTAAAAGAAAGAACGCATCTTTATTTTCATAATTAACAGGAAATGCATGTTATACATTAACTGTGGCACAAGAGAGATGAATTATGCAGTAAGCTCAGTGTGTGCTGATCAGCACAAAGCCCAAGGCACATTCGGCAGAGTTTCTATGAAGATCTGTAATGAGTTTCAAGTACATCATTTCCTGATGGAGGGTAAGAAAACATCCATCAATGCTAATTTCCCCACAATTTTTAGCTTTTTATGAATACAGCGTACAAAAAAAAGATGAATTTCTAAAGTGCAACTTGAGAAAACTCTCTTAGTAATTAGAGAGCATTCCTAGCCTAAACTAATGAGATCTGAACCTTAAACATGGGGTTGGTTCAGAGTAGATTTTGAAGAATTTGGAGGTGTTCAAGTCAAGAGTTCTGAAGAGCTTTCAGAGAAAAATGCTGAACTGCTTTGAATGGAGTTTAGTTCAGTGTCTGAAATGCATATATGTTTGGACTATAAGCACACACTAATAAATGCATCAATGCAGAGCAGAAGGTATGCAACCATTCTCAGTGTGTGGGATAATTATACAAGAACGAAATCAGTATTTCTTCTGCCAGTTATGCAATCTTCCTTCTTCCCACACCTCTTACAGCAACAAAGTCAACTGCTATACTCTTTGCTCAGTAAAACTTGCTCTTATTGGAAGCACTGTTATCTGTCTGTCTTCTTACGTCTCTTTGTTATATTAAATGAAAGCTCTCTTAGGTTCCCGCTATGATTTAATGGTAGATTTTTAGTGACAGATGATATCTTGTAAAAATAGAATTTAATGTTCATGTTTTTTTAACGCTAATTTCTTTTCAACACCTTTCACTTGAACCATAAAGTTCTTCTGTATAACACAGAGTAGATTTTGTTTAATTAAAGCACCAAACATCATGATCTATTGAAGGCAGGAGACTGAACAACAATAAACAAAGTGCAGTTATAAATTTAAAAATGATAATCTCTCTTAGTAATTATAGTCACTCGAATACCATTAATTATTCTCTGCCAAACATTTCAGCTACTCAGCCAAGACAGAAACAAGTCTATAGTCCTGGATGACCAAGTTACAAATGATAAGTAATCACACTGGATTACTTTGTACTTCTACAAATAAATAATGCCTGTTTTTTTACATCATCTATCCAGTGATCACTGGATAGCAGCGATGGGATCTCTCATGATACAGTGTAAGGAACAAAAGCTAGTCTAGGTTTGATTCAAGTAGGAAAAAATAAGTCATTCCACTCTGGTAATAATAGAGAACTATTCTGCGATGCAATAGGGAACAAGAAAATAGTACTGAATATTATTCACTTCTTTTTCAAGCAAGTGAAGCTTGTGTAGTCTATTATCACATGTGTTGCGCTGCCCAGTGTGTTATGTTAGTGTGTCAAGTGCTCATACCGGATCTTAAATTGTGCTGGAAAGCTCAAGAGTATAGCAACATTTGCAGCATAAAAATGTCTTCTCTTTGATCATTCAGGCTTTCCATCACCGTAGGTGGTCCTAACTAATAAGGAACTGTGATCCTCTTTACTATTTGATTCCAGTAGCTGTGCAACAGACCACATGCAATTAGTGCTGGCCATTATTGTTTTAGTCAAATGCTAAAACACTTAGTTACAGATTCACTATCTTGTCTGTAAATCAGTTCTTTTTAACCGCACTCTATGCATGGGAGTCAGTATTTCTTTCTCTCTTAAGAATTTAATCAGATATTTTTTACCTTAAGGCAAAAAAGTGTGCAAGTGTTTTAATATACATAGTGTATGTTACTGAGAAGGAGCCTTGCTCTAGAGTTCCATGCAAATATATAGCATGAACAAATATATGTAGTATAACAAAATTAATCTTCAGTTTTCTCCGGATAAGAAGTTAGGATGTGGGATCACAGTCACACTCCCTGTGGAACAGGGATGGATGTGTGTTTTGTTTAGATACTAGGGTTTATTGATAAAGAGAGAGAGGCTGATGACAAAATCCATTAGCATGATGATAATTACTAAATTTTTGAAAGAGTTTCAAGTATCTGTGACTGGGAAGATTTTCTACTTCTTTCTTTTCTATATTTAAAAAAAACATAACTCAATTTGAGAATGAGGAAGTTGGCAAGGGGAAAGTAAGGAATGACTTGTGGGTACACACCTGGTCTCCATAGAAAGCTCACGCCTCCTCCTGCACAGATTACAAGTTGATTTCATTTGCTGACCTCACAATTTTGGAAAATGTGTGTTTTTGTGATGAGTTCACAGTGAGGTAAATGTTTCAGCTATGTAAGTTGCAGAAAGCTATTGGATGCCTAAATAATTCCAATCTTTGGGGTTTATGATAGTAACCTTCTCCTCAAATCTTGAGTAAGTAGCAGCATGTGTTGTAGTGTCCTCAGTCCATGCTGTGTAATGTCTGGTGATTCAGAGGCACTGGGTGGTCACTGGTTCATGCTGTAGTGTCTACAGCACCTATGGCTGACTTTACCCTTACTCTCAGTCTATTGGGATACTTTACTAGGCTGGATTTCCAGGTAGTAGGTCTTTCTGGCGTTCTGCGTGTCTCATGCATGGTGCCGGCAATCTGCGTCTTTATGCATTAGTCCTAGCCCTAATCTTTATCCACTAATTTTCAGGACTAGTCAGCTTAAAAAAAAATTAAACCATCGTAGTTTCATTGCTATACAGTCCTTTAATTCCACATATCCCTTAGAGTTTGAGTTAAAAGCGGCTGGTAGTTAATGTTAATGGAACATACAAATTTAAGACTTTGATTTCCTTCCATTTTGATATATATGGAGTTTAAATATTTGTAAAAGAGATAGACTTAATAGAAGAAAAATGTCTGCCCTAAGAGAGATATGACACAATAGATTTGCTGTAAACTGCTTAGGATCATTTAAAACCAATGAATTAAAAATCAGATAGTGAGGGCTATAATTTACACTACAGAGGTTATAAGGCTTTCTGTGTTCATATTTACAAAGAAAGTATTAAACTACAGTGATTTTTGATTTTTTTCTTCCCACCAGGGAGAAACGTGAAACTCAATTTTACCCCCGATTGGTAAGGTGCTAATTTGTCTGACAAGTTGCTGGAATCTCAGCATGTTTGAGGTATCCTTGATGTATCAACACCTTCATGCTGAATGAAGGATGCCTTTAATGTGTAAATGTTTAGTACATATCCTATATCTCATTAGCCAAGAATCGTACAAACCACACAGAGGCAAGAAGGGTCAGAAGCAAGGTCCAGCCAAGGAAATCATCTTTTATGTTCTAATTAAATGAGCAAACATTTGGAATACATCTCATTTGCAAATAGTTCATCAAAAAATATACTTGATGTTCACTGACTAGCTTGTGTCCTAAAGGCCTGACGAGTCCAGTATCCAATGGTGCATCCTGAATCAGTGCCATGTTGCACTGTGTTGATGTTTCACTTATCTTGCTGTCTGCAATATTTAAATATTTATTAAGAATAGTAGAAGGGAATAATTGAATAATTAAATCACAAGCATATACTTTTCTGAATTATTTCTGTGTTAATCCAACCCTTGTTAAATTACATGTAACTTAGACATATAACGTAGACGTTTAGTTTCTTTGATTCTTGTGAAAATGCAAACATTCCTAAAGAATCTGAAACTATTTCCTAGGGAATTTCGACTCCCTTTTGAAAGAAAGGTGGAATTTCAAGTTTCATTTCAAAAGTATAACAACATCAAAAATAGCCAAGCCAGTGACAAGCAGGTACTTTAAGGAAAAGCTGTTAGAAATGTTTGCATCTGCATTAAGCTGTGGCTTGTGTGCATAGCAGAAGGCTGCTGGTGAGGGGGAGAAAGCTCTGCTAGATGTCCTCCAGTGGGACTTTTCTTTCTGTGAGGTGAGAAATGTGACAGTTCTGAATGATGAACTGTAAAGGACCAACAAAAAAAAACTGGGGGTTTGCTTGGCTGAAGGACATGGCTGTACACTCTCAGCTGTTTATCTCTGCCATTGTCTTTGAGCTCATTGCAGTGGGTGAATGCCTATGGGAAATGAATGATCTTATTTGTTTTGCAGAGATTGCATTAAACATAATTACGAAAGGAGACTTAAAACAGTGAAACATAGACAGATCTTCTGAAAGTTAACTTAAATATTCTCAGCTTAACGAATTTTTTAAAAAATCCCCTTGTGACAATCTTGACTACGTGTAACTCAAGGGAGGAAACATATTTTCAATACTGTGATTGAAAAATGGGTCTTATTTGTAGTGTTGGTGAGATGCATAAAAATTATCTGCATCTACTTCCTTGTTATGCAAGTTTTGAAAGAGTATTTAAATAAATCCCCATGATGTGTTTATGAAATTTTGCAAATTCCTTCTTCTAGCCAAACGTTATTTTTCTTCTTCATTTAGAATTTTCAGAACAGCTCCCTCTGCTCTGCGCTGGAGCTGAGCAAATTGTTGGGCACCTGCCCCTGTAAGGAGGGACATTTAAGCCTGGGATGGTGTCTGTCCAGGGTAGCCTCATCCCACCTCCATGGGCTCCACCTGCCCCCATTGCTTTCCCATCTCCATTGCCCACAGCAATCAAATAGCTGGAAGTGCTAATTAGTGCTGCCCTGCAGCCCCAGCACATTCATATGATGCAAAATTGAGTGGCATTTGTCAGTCAGTTGAGGTAGTGTCCTCATCCTGTATATATAAGAAGGTTAATTCCTTCTTTTTGCTTCTCTTTTCCAGAGGTTGATCTGTCTGAACTGCTGAATCTTGATGACTTGCAATCAACAGACTGTAGAACAATAAGGTCAGCAGTGTAAAGATGTGGATTTTTTTCTGCCTCTAAATGCAGGCTGCTCTTCTGGGCCAGTGAGGTGAGTCTGACTTTAGTTGACTGCCCAATAGAAGAACAGAGTGCAAGGAAAGAGATTAAAGATACCTGAAAATATGTTGAGCTGTTAATACAGCATTCACTTCTTGTATCTAGAAGGGGCAAGTTTGGCTGCATGACCTTCTGACAAATGTCATTTTCTTGTTAAATGTTAAATCAATGATGGGACCCTTTGACTGGAGATCGGTTTTCTAAGACCCACAGTCTACACTGCAACCTTGTAGAATCAGGATCAGGAACATGTACTAACACAATCACAAGATAAGTATTTCCTGTGGAGGTGAAACAACAGTCCACTAATTTTTTTTTTTTTTTAACCACTTAAATTAAATTCATTTGTTCATTTGTTCCATACAGCTAGAATTGTTATGGGATTACATGCTTTGATATGAAATACAAGTTTGGATCCAATTATAAGAGGAGCTAAAACTGGATTTTAAGCTAAATCCAGTGCTAGCAGCTCTGGACAATATGGGTAACCTCCATGGGGGGAGGGGAGGGAGGGGGAGGGCACATTACATAATTACTCACAGCATGGAAACTGACATCACACTTACCTGTGGTCCAGACTGCCCACTTCTCAGTGGATCAGTGCTGGCTCATACAGCCATATTTAATCTTGCTCCTCTGACTGCAAGGGGACCTCACCATAGTTTGATTACACCCAAATTCATGTTGCACTCAAAAATAAAAAAAGATTGTAAGGACTGGCATATGCATAACTCTATGGTGTGCTGCTTGAGATATTCAGAAGCGATACAGACAGCAACATCCACATCAGTGTGTGTCTGTTATTCTCTATCTGTATAACAGGGAAAATATCTGTGACATTTGGAAAAAAAAAAAGATGAATTTGCCCAATATGTTTTCAGGGATATGGGATAACAGTACTGCATGGATGGAATAGCAGGGAGTGCCTGGGGTCAGCGGGTGAGTGGCAGAGCTGTGTGGGGATGGTTGTATGGGGCCACTCACAGCACTGCTGCAGCCCATGGGTTGGACAGGCAGGGTGAGCTATTCTTAGTCAAGAACTTCATGCAGAACCCAGCCCTTAGAAAAAAAGTACAAAATTGCTTTTTGACTAAAAGATTGAGGCTTCTTATGTGGTTTGAGTCTATCATCTGATGAACACCTTATCCCAGAAGTCATCACTTACGTGACTACTGAGTGCTGTGGCTGTAATCCGAATTCACAAGGCAAATCGCGAACAAACCAGCCACAGCAGCTGAGTGGGTGTCTGTCTTGCTGGTGAAAATTCTGGATTTGTTAACTGTGATCACAAAGTTGCTGTAGGTTTCATATAAACTGTGTCGGTTTCAAATTCATGCTCCTAATGCTATGTCAATTTACTGTTAAATACTTCTGGCACATTAGTGTCTGTGGCAATAATACATTAAGGACAAGCATTTACAATCTGACTTCAATTTGACTGTACTGAAATCAGCGAGAGGCAGAAAAACTTAAGAATGCTTATACGTCTTCTGATTGTTCTCTTCAAACAGAATTTTTCAAATCCATGGATAGTTTTGATTTTGATACTGCTTATAGATAGTTGGTACATTCCTCATGGACCAAAGTAAATGTTCATTTCAGATCTCAGTCCAATCATCAGGTGCCTACAAATTTATTGCTGTGGATTGAAAGAGATTTGCAAGGGTGCTTGTGTAGAATTGTGAAATCAGACGTAGGTCTTTGGAATTGCTTGTTGACCATAAGTGAATGGAAGGCAAAGTGCTGCTGTTCTCCTCTGGCTCATTTTTAGTTTTGGGATTCCAGTAGGCAGTGCTAAATGTGAACTCCATCAATGCTGACCCCTCCTACATTCCCATATGCAGCTGCACATTCTAAATGCTGTGGAAAAACATCCCACAGCACAGTGTGATCTGCAAGCATTTATACAGTAGATGAGCCACAGTGACTGTTCAGTGAACTTATGCAAGATAAGGAATGAAAATTTTGAAATGAAGAGAGGTAGGAAAAGCTAAATCCTGTCTTTGTTTCTGTGAAGCATTTTTCCATGAAAACCCTAATGTTGATGCCTAAACAAGGCCAATAAATGTATTGTCCCTACCTTTCATCAAGGTGTTTGCTTGCACAGTGCTAGGATTATCTGTAATTGAGACAAAATTCACACTTCTACCAGATCCATATGGCATTTCTGTGCTGCTGGGACCGTCTAGCAAAGCTTCTTGTTTCTGAGCACGTGACACTGAACCATCCCAAGGTGTAAGTTCAGCCAGCTTCAATGTGTTGCTGAGCTTGCTGCAGATGGCAGGGAACTGGCTGGGCTCTGTCGCTGCCCCAGCCAGCTCCCACAGCAGTTCCCTGGCAGCCTGCTGGGCTGCAGTAGCATATCAGGGTGGCGTGGCTGTACCAGCAGGCTGCTAGCAGCATGACCAACGCTGCAGAGCTGTGGGCTGCTCCTGCACGTCTCCTCAGCTCCTTGCTCTGCCCAGGCACTAGGATATAAAATTGCTCTCTAACTCCTTTTCCTGCTGTACAGGAACATGCGTATGTTTAGCATATATGTTCACAAACTGTCAACCTTAATACTATTTTTTCTTCTTCTACATTAACCAAAGTTTCTTTTCATTTAGAGCACTGTAATTATTTGACTCAGCAGCACAGTCAAGGATACACCCCTGGGTGCTTCAGCTTTTTCCACAGAAAAGGTCCCAGAGTGTCGAGGGTCATTTTCAAGGCTTGTATCTATCTCAGGCATTAGGAGATCAAATCCGAGTGGCCTTTGGAACTGCTTAATACTCTGAAATCATGTTCCTCCAAAGCTGATATCTCCTGTTTTGGACACAATATCCCGAATGTTGGAGATAACAGACATTACCCTTGGGTGGAAGACCTTCATTCTCCTGGATGGTGGTTTTGGACATAGCATTCCAACCAAGGAAATCACAATCTACCAAAAAAAAGCCCAACTCCCATCCCAAATTGTGTAAGGAGTCTTGGCAACTCAAGCAGAACCAAACTGATGTTGAACAGAACTTAATTATTTTAATTTTATTCAAACTGAATCTTCATCTGTGTTGACAGTACTCTTCTCCAATCTACTTCACAGTGACAGGCAGAGTCCAAATCCCATTCAAATGAAAATAAGAGGAAGCTAGAGATGGACTCCTAGCAAACAAACAAAAACAGTTTGACATTTTTACTTCAAAAGCACAGCAGTGGTTTACCAGCAAGGACTGTACTCATTAATGCTGTCTTATCTGTGCTGCTACCTATTATAGTTTTTAATGTTGCTTTTAAAAAACATTTTTAAGAGCCAAGCAGTTTCACTGCTTTGAAATCTTTCTGCCCAAATGTGAATCTTTGCATTCCTTTTCAAAACAGTCAGTTCCTTCGTGTGGAAGCTATGCAAGTAAGTTGGTGCACATTCACCAGTCTTCAAAGACAAATGGAAAATAAAGAGCTTCTTTATTTGAGACCGCTTTACTTTTCTGCTCACCACCTCCTTTCCATTTCCTTTCCGTATTTGTCCTCCAGCAACAGCTGCTGCAGCCATGCCATGGTGTTGAAGTACGATGTTGGGTGGAAGGCAGACATTGTGTGAGAGTGCCAGCAGGGCACTGCATGTGGGAACACGTTCAGGTGAGCCCAGCAGTGCAGCTCAGCCATGTGTCACGGCCACAGTGCACCCAGTTATCTGTGTGAACAGACAAAGCAAGAACTGGCATGGGCACAATGCTGGCAGCATAGTCAGCATCACTGCCTGTGAAAGCATTCTGCTTAAATGAACAAGTACACCCAGCTAAACAGAAATTTCCAGTCCCAAACTTTTCTGTAGCTTTCAAACATTCTCCTTTGCAGTTTTTGTGATTATTTGTGATATTTGTGCTGAGGTAGACTGTAAGAACATTAAAAACAACTTTTTTTGGGGGGGTTTAAAATAGTAATATAAATATACAGATGCTATAGCAGCTCATAGCAGCAGATCGGAGTAACTTCCACCTCGAGATGTGGTCATATGAAAGACTTTTTGGTAAGTAACCAACATACATGGCTTACAAAATCTCAAGGCAAAGAATTTGGGATTTTTCAGGAAGGCTGTGTGATTGCAGGTAATATTTTAATATAAGGATAACAATCAAATCACAAATTTTGAGCACACGCATAATACAGAACTCGTGCTACAGGCATAGGCAGCAGCTGAGGGAAGCCAGCAGGCAGCGCCTGCCCCGCCACCTAGCGGAGTGCGCCTGCGGGCTGCACAAGCGTAAGTCGTGTGTGAGTAATGCCAGCGGAATTTAAGGGCAACTTTTTTGTGAGAAAAACTACTGTGCTGCTGTAAGTTGACTGTCTCTCTTCTGCTCTGTTAAGTGGTTTTCCTTTTAATATCTCAGCTTGATGCAGAACTCCACTTAATTCTCTGTTTGGAGTGTCTCAACTGCATAACTATAAGAGCACAATTGGGTCTTAATCACCCTCTGCCCTGCCTCTGAAAGGAAAAAAAACCACTACAACCAGCCCCCACCAACCTGACCTAACATCCCCTCCTCCTCTCAATGATTCTATACTCACTTCAGCTGTATTTCCTGTATATATTTGTTATGTTATTAAGAGGCTATGGTAATGTAATGCCATATAACAAAACAAAATTAAAGCACTTTAAATTCCTTTTATTACTCACTCGTACCAACTTGGTAAAGGTACTGAAAGTGGGAGAGAGGGAACAGGCTTTGTAACTTAAAAATGATAGCAGCTGCTAAAATATAGAGCTGTTCTATGGAGAAACAGGTACAATAACAAACTGCGCTGTGGTTCAGTTGTTAAACTGCTGCTGTCAGTCAGTGTGATCCCTACCAGCTAACAATAAAAATGTTTTGACATGCAATCTTGTACACACTTCAATAATAGTTACCTAACTGGAATTGTCAGCCATCGAAATATTTCTTTTCCAGCTAGTTTAGAATCATGAAAATTTCAGTGTGCTACAAGTCCTGCTTTAAAGGGCACACTGTCAATGACAGAGCCACCAGAAGAACTCTGTAAATTGCATTGTACAGAAGAGCTGTGTAAAATACAACTGTTATATTTCATAATAAAAACCAGCTTATCATCAGGGACAGAGGGCTTTAGAGTCTAATAGAAAATACCATCGTGTAATGGGAAATGGAGGCCTCTCCCAGCCCAGCTCCATTCAGGCTTCAGCTGGAGCAGAAACAGGGCAGTGCTCACGCTCTGGGTGACCACAGAATTAATGTTGCTCAGTGCATATCCCTGACAGCATCCAGCACGAGCAGAGGTTGATGCAGTGAGTGTGGCCACCACTCATCCCAGCTCAGGAAGGCAATGGAAAATACAGCTTTCCTCACGGCTCCCCACCACGCTCCTTCCTGCAGCCATGCAGCAATGTGGTTTCATCTCCCAGTGGAAGAGATCTGTGAATGATTTGGAGGTTCAGAGTTCAGGGGTGGTTTGGAAAAACACCCGGCGGGCTGCTACACCCATGGGGGAGCGGTCTTGTTAGATATGTTGTCCCTGGGTATTTCTGGCATTTCACCTCCTGACTGAAGTCAGGAAAACTCAAAGAAAGCAAAAAATATGGAAAACTACATCCAGACACTTCCAAAATTGGAAACTAGTTTCCTAATGTTTTGCCAAAAGCACAAGTTAGATCTTGTTTTAGCCACCCAGTCCTCCTTGGAGTAGAAAATATTCAGTACAGTTTCCTTTCAGATATCAGATAAGCAGCATAAATAGCCACCTAAGAATTAAAGACATGACTAATTCCCGTTCATTAGAAATGTGCAACATAAATAACTACTTGTTTCACTGCTCATTAATTACACTGGGATGCCTCCAGCTCTGTCACATGCATTCAGGTCTGCTTCCATGCTGTCTCCTTTGAATAAATCTATATTGTCCTTCTGCAGGACTGCTCCAGTGAGAAGAAACAGGAAAGGCTGCGAGTCGTGGGCATCCCACTGCTTCTGCTGTTCTGATTCCTGGGGAAGTAGGAGAAGAAGGGCTCCAACAGGTAAGATGCAGCCATGAATTTTGCTACTGTTATAACAGCTTGTGTCTAAGGTACCATTCCCAGATGGCTTTCCTAGGCCCTCAAATTTCAAACACTTACAAAACAAGGAGTTTTGTAATTCACCTCGCGGTAAATATAAACACTGCTTAATGGATGGCTTTAATTCCTGCTTCAAGGGCTTTTTGCTGGTCACTGCTGCAGCGCTCAAATTTGCCCCAGAGCTGCACGCAGGCTGCCAAGCAGCCAAGGGCTTAGGAATCTGTGCCATTTGAGTTCATGCTGATTATGGTTTTTGACTGAAATACTGTGGTATTCTTTTTAAAGAAAATACTGAGTCACCAAAACTAGCACTAACCTTGTAAATGCATTGGTTTTGAGAGGAAACGTTCTCAAGCAGATGGAATTTCTGTATAGAGGGGGAAAAAAAATAATCTTCAGTGATTAGGGCATTCGTGTATGGGAGCCATGGTCAGCAAACAGCTGTTATTTATGAACTCATCACTAAACCTGCAATGGAATCGAGCAGAGCAAGGATTTGAAACAGATTAGTTCCCCAGTCATTGGTTCACTGTCTCAGTGTATACTGCTAGTGCCAGTTTATTTCAGAAGCCTTGCTAAATATTCATGAAGTTTGGAATAAAATCCCCAAAAGACAACAGTTACAGGAGCTGGATGAGATACAGGCTGCTCAAGCCCTTGATTCAGGCTGGTCAGAGAAACACCTCATGCTCAAGTACCATCTCCCACACGGTGAGCTTATGTGTAGCATTGCTCTCCATTCAGCATGATATAGAAAAAAGACCCCAAAAGTCAAACTTCCTTTTCTCCTACTCCAATTCTGCCTACCCTAATGTACTAGAAATGAATAAAATTAAAATTGGGCCATACATTTATATTCCCATTTTCCCTTCTACATCTCTTCACTAGGTAAGCCTGCTTTTAAGTTTGCCACTCATTCATTTCTTCAAGATTACCCTGAAAGGAGTGATTTTGTTTATCTTAAAAATGAAAGTTGGTGGGAACGGTAGCGTCCCCAATATTAATTGTATGAACAGAAAGTCGTGCTGTGAGGTCAAAAGGAAGTGCAGGACCTCAGTGCTCAAAATATTACCAAACTCTGTCATGAAAACGGATGTGCTCTGCTGCTTCTTTCTGTGTATAGGGATTTTTCTCAAGATCTTCAGATCAGTCTTCTCTGACCACAAAGGCCAGAGTCTCATTCTTCTACTTTCTGTTTTTGAGAAAAGATAACAGTTTTTTGTTGACTTTTTTTTTTTCTCTTCATCTTGTCTTTTGGTCTTCTGGCAGCCTCACAGGGGCCCAGCACTGGAAGCAGGAGCTCGGAATTGCCCACTGCAGCCTCCTTTCTACAGTACTGCCATGGCCTGTGCAAGGTGTTCAGGGGATCCTTGCAGGTAACGGGCTGAGCTGAGGGGTGCCAGCTGCTCCTTACAAGTACAAGCAGTACAAGGGTCACAAGGAAGGTCTGTAAGAAGCTAATATTAGTGTTTATCAATAATCATAAGTTCCTCTGTTCTGATATTATGCTAGATCAGAGTGTTACTCTAATGAAAGCCATAGAAGACATAAACACACTCAAGCTTGCTTAGCTAGGAAATCAAAAGATAATGGATATTTACAGCCAATATCAAAACCATAACCAATTCGGCAGAGGAGCATTTTATATGACCAGTGATTTAGAAGGCTCATACAGGTAAGCTACAGCAGCAATCCAGTCGAGGCACTGTGCCCAGAGCTCCCAGGTGGTGCCACTGCCCATCAGCCCCTGGAGCTGACCTGGTTGTTGTGCTGGGCCTTGTTACACAGCTCTCCTCATAAACCATGTGGGGAATTCTAATAATTATACCTGTATAAGTAGGAGGATAACTGAAACATATGTTACCAGGTTCTAGAAATGCTCTGAACAGCTACCAAAGTTTTCTGCACTTGTACAGTCAACAAAATACACTTGGAAAGAGTACCGTAGTGATATAGCAAAGGAGCAAACAGGGAAGGAATGCTCACCTGTATCCAAAAATTTAGGCTTGCAACGAAAAGCTCCGCAGAGGAGGGATTTCCAGAAAGAGATCCTTTGCTAGTGTTAGTCAGCCCTTAAATGGGCTTTTAGAGAGATGCAGCCAGGTTCCACTCCTTCAGGTCACACAGCTGAATTGCCTTCACCTGTGTTCCTAAAGCTGGCCCAGTCCTTGCTTCAGGTGATCAGTCAGTGAATCAGGCCTTGATTCAACAATTCCAATACATTACTTTATCCGAACTGAACAACTGTGCTGTGCCATTGGAGTAACATGACAAGTTGTACACATTGAGAGATGACTGCATCAACTGCAGTGGGGTGCAGCTTCCAGCCCTGACTCATGAAAGTCAAGGATCCTTCTCACAGGAGTGTTTTTAGGTGGTGGAGTGTGATTGTGAAATTTAGAGCTAGGCCTTTTCTTAGGTACGATGGAGTTTGGTAGGTTGGTTGAAGCAGTTTTGTAGGTTGGTTTTGAAATCATACTTTTACTTTGCTGATTAGGTGGTATTCATGGCCAGCAACTTGAACTAGGCAGTGTTAGAAGTGTGTTGTGTCAGTGCTGGGTCAGAGGACAAGGGATGTCAGTGTCTGAACCACAGCTATAATGCTGTACCTGGCCTTGGTTATGTTGCTGAAGCTTTGTGGGATGCAGTTCTTCTGTAGAAAATGGAAATGAGTGTTATTTGCCTACCAATAAAGAGTGCTACAACAGGCTGTTAGCTCCACTGGATTGCCTGTATGAAGGTGTATAGAACTGCTCAGAAAGCTCCATTAGCTAGCTGGGATTTGGGCTCACATTTTTTCAGCTCTGCTAACTAAATCCCAGTGTAATAATTGAAATAGATTTTTTGTCTGGTTCTTCTTTTATTTTGCATGTCATTGGAAAGGACCTTCTGATCTATGCACCAAGCTTAGCAGCAGTGCAGTCAGGAAAGGAACTGAACTTTAGGGCTCCTGTCAGTTTGGATTGGAAATAATTATGCAAAGGATTGTGAGATTTTGCTGTCTTCAAATGAGAAATGCACTTGAGCTTCAGTTTATCCTGGAATGCAACTTCATTTCAAATCTTTGCTTCACATACTATAATTTTGACTTTTCCTTATAAAAAAATCAGGTGGAAATGATTAGAAATAGGAAGAAAACACTTAATTTGCAGAAAAATGCCTCAATGGTAGTGAAATGACAGTGCCTGACACACTGCCTCATGGTGTTCATTCTTGCTCAGCTACAGTGAAGGCAGAAAAGGCATAAATTACTCAGTGAGCAAATGCCTTGTTTTCTCTGTAACTCCACCTCTTTTGGGCATCCTGCCCTGTCCCCACCCCTTGCACTTGTCTGCATGTCTTAATGGCAGTATTCATGCAGCTGGTAATTTATGTGTCTGAGAGAGAAGATTTACACAGAGCCTTCCCTTCAGTTATTTAGAAAATGTGAGCTACAACATGTGATTTGTTAGGTCCCAAATTCTAACTTAAAAGTCATGAACATCTTAATGGCTGGGCTTGAGCAAGAGAAGTTTTATATGCAATTACTTGAGCTAGGAGCTAGTTCTGAGGTCCTCACTTTACACCTAGTTACAAAAGTTTGTCTTCAAAATAAATACAATGCCTATTGTAACATAAGCACACAGTAATTTGGCTTGGCTGAAGCAGTTCAGTGCGCTGCTCTAGAAGGCAGACGGAGCTGATCCAGTTACGGAGACCTACTTGATTCAGTCGGTGTCTTGTGTCATAAACACGAATTGTTAATTTCATATTACTCATAACAGGCGCACTGTGAATGTTTGCAGCGTTTATGGGATATCAGTTACAAATGTGATTATACCAGCCATTCCTCAGGACTGACACCAGTTTCAAATTAGAAGCTGACAGGCCTCACCTGCTCCTGAGTTCACTGACAGGTCACCTTCTTGTCATTTTGGCTGTCCCCCCCTCACAATGACATCTGTGTTCATAAAGGGACAACGAGGGACTCTAAGTTGTTAGAATTGTTGAAGAATAAGAATAAGGTGTCATCTACTCCAATAACGTAGTACTCAACTTTGGCCTTTCAGATGGCGTGATGCTTGTAGCACCTGACAATGTTTCCAGATACAAGAATAGCTGGATCGGAGGGGCAGCAGTTGTTCCCTCTTCTATGCACGGATGCTAGGCATTCAGCTCAGTGCTAGCACACAGAGGATGGACAATCTCAGAGTATTCCGCAAAGAGTTTCAAAATACCTTTACTTTTTGCATAAAGGAATAGCACATTAGCTTAAATTAAAACATTCAGAGATGTTATTACACATTCAGATTTCAAAACAACCTGTGGAAGGCAAAAGGTAAATACTGTTCAACAAACAATTAGATAAAATACATTTAAAGCCTTTTCAATTTTTGGACATCTGCATGAATCTCTCTGCGTACTGTGAGTGTAGATGCAAACTCTAATGTTATGTGGAATTGTCTTAGCACTTAAAACCACATATTTCTTCCCTTCTAATGAAGATTTTTCACATTCACTTGATTTATCTAATGCAGTCCAATTACTCTGCCTAGACACTTCTCAAAACTTGGAAAAAGGGCATCCATCTTCCAACACAACTTCATAATGAGCTTATTTCTGTCAGTGAACACACAGAAATGTCAGATCCAAACAACCTCAAACTGTCCAGAATAGAGATTTGGGCTCCTCCACATTTCAAGTTTACTCAGTAAGTGCAATACAAACCCAATACATGCATGCCTCAAATGGATCAGCTGTAGATCTGTCTTCTTAATGTTTGGGTATTACAGGAAGGTAAGTGTGTGCATACATATGAGCCCACTGAAGTTGCCTGGCCCATTGCTGCTGTGTGTAGAGAAGAAGGTCTGTGGGTGAGCTCCCAGCTGTGGGGCATGAAAGCTTTTCTCCTAGCTGCTCCAGAGGCTGGACAGACTTACACTCACATTGAGCTTTGTTACATGCTGGTGGGAAAAGAGCAGAGACATGTTCCTTAGAGGGTGGGAAAGGATAAACAAGATGTTGAATTGCACTTTGCCAAATGAAGGACTCAGAGCAGCCAAGGAAAAATCTTTTTTTCTTTTTCCTTCACTAAATTAGACCTTTATTTTTGTCTTAGACACTGTGGCTAGCAGAACTGTGAGGACAGTCACAGTTATCATAGTTGCCATCATTCTCTGAAATCTGTCCTTGATTTTATTTTCTGCTTCAGGAAATATATTACAGTATTGTTATTTCATCTATATTAAATAGACCTAAGGCCTGACTCTTCATGGTGTAAACAAGTATGACTTCAGGAAAGCAGTGCTGAATCACGCCATCTGTGTGTCTGATTCTTAATATAAAAAGGAGCGTGCTACTAGAGAGTAAACAGAAGTAAACATTTGTAATAGAAACTCATGTTATCAACCCAGACACCCCCCTCCGGTGTTTAGCAGGAAAAAAAACCCACCTACAGTAGATTTACAGAAGCCACCACTTTTTTTTTTAATGATTTGGATATTGATCATTTTTAATCTTCTTCTCAGAACAACCGGGAGATCTATTATAGCTTGAGCCAGCCATGAAAAGCAGGTCCGTTCTTTAACCTGCCCCAATTCACTTGGACATATTTTATATCTCCAGGGATTCAGCCACAAAGTCCATTAGAGCATCAGATGCAGTGAGGTCAAATCAATTGTCCATACTGCAGACAAGGTAACCATCATTTACTGTAATTCTCCGCCGTCATGGTAGAGGAGAGGAAAGGTTAAAAGCTGTATTACCATGAGGCTGTCTCATCTATCTTTCAGTATATTGGTAGTACCTAAACATTGCTTAAAGAACTGAATGCGCAATCTTAAATCTGTGTTAAAATGGATTTAGAGGTTAGATTTCCAAATCGAGAAATTTGCTAATGATGATTTCTTCAAAGAAAAGCAGAAAGAATAAAAATTTTAAAACAAAAAGCTTAAAATATATAGTCGCATCTGACACAACTGGTCTGAAGCTATACTGAACGCTCATCCCACAGTGACCTGAATGACTGCTATTTATCCTTCCTATACATAGCTATATTTACCTATGAAGTAATTTGCTGTCATCTCTTTAAGGTGGAGATGCTCCGACAGTCCAAAAACAAAAAAGGAAACAAATTCAGGATGTACATTTTTGCACTGTAAATCAAGTCCTTATGTGTTTGCACTCTAGGATGGGCAATAATAATTGACTGAAGCAATCACTGCTGTGGGAAAACAAACGTCCTGGCAGTGTCGCATCTGAAGGTCAAGCCTGATGACACAGTAAGCACCTGAACTCTCACTGACTCCCGGGGAGGCGGCCGATGAGCACCTCCCGGAGCTCGCCTGGCAGGGACAGATTTACACAGCTGCCAGGGCAGGGGGTGAGGATGCTTTTTCGCTCCCACCTCCTTCCGTTGGGTCGGCAAAGTCATTTATTTCCATAACAGCGCCATGTTCTCTCTGGTGCCTCTGCTCGGTATGTCAGCTGCATGAAACCAGAGAGAAAAGGCACTTCTGAGCTGCCGGGGACCATGCATCCCTCCTCCTACAAACAATTGTGCTGGCCCTGATTCACCTCACACAAGCTGCTGTCCACCCTGTACACGTGTGAAAGCTGTAGCACTGAGGCCCAGATCTTTGGATATTGTTGAAGCAGGAAGCAACAAACCCAGCTTTATTCACTTGAATTGCTAATTTGCCTTTTCTAGGTTAATCTTTCCTCTTTCCCTGGATTTCTTTGATCCTGGGATGTTTTCATTGAGAAAGTGATTGAAGAGGCATTTAGATTTTCTGTATTATGGAAATCTTTGCACAGCTGTCAGAATTGCTCATTTTGTCCTTCTGTTTCAGAAGCTAAGTTCTAAGCAAACATACAGATACATTTAAAATAGAGGCAAGGGAATAAGGAACAGAAAATAGTCACTCTAGTACAAATGTGTAATTCTGAGGCTGACATATATTCTGACATATGTTCATGGTAACCGTCTTGGGAGACAATGGGATGAACTTAGTGGTAGTGTAAGAGCTGATGATGTAGATTACAGATAAGAAATATTTTTGTAAAGAAGCTTATTTGTAAAACTTAAAGTTTAACACTCAGCACAATAAATTCCACTTTCAGGTAATGTGGGCATTCAAAAACCATAAAAAGAAACTGGTAAAAGTTTTGTGTGTGCTGAAGGAGAGAGAAATGTGCCTTAGATTAGGTGTTACATACCTTTCACTTAGCTGCTTTTCCTCTTCTGTTTCCTCTTTTCATGATTTACCTCAGCACAGACTCTGGGCTCCTTTTCCTCGGTCTGTGCTGCCCATCACCTCTGAATTCATCCCTATGAATATTTATTCACAGGTCTTTCACAACAGCGCAGACTGGCACTGTGCTATAAAATAAAAGTAGCATTCAATTATAAATTGTGTATAAACTCTAAATCTTCACAAAGGTAATTACAAAACCAGCATTTTTTAAAATTTAATTTTGACATAAATATTATGAAATAAATTAAGGCGAATGTAAAGCTGAGTAAGAATTTCATCCCAGAATCTGGAAGGAAGCAAAAGGTTAAAATGTATATGTGTGTGTGCCTTCATGATAGCACAGAATCAGGACTGTGTGCACTTTGGTCTGTTGCTCTTGTTGTTTCCTTGCTCAGTAGAACCCTCACTGCTGGTACATACTCTGCAATGCTAATTCAGAGAATGGCCCCCTGGGTAATTTAGCTGAAATTGGAGTCTCTAAAGGATGAAACTTTGCTGTTCTTTGGCTTCAGTGGATATCACAGCCCTGAATGGAATACCACTGAACATAACAAAAATGTTCAGATCTGGAAAAATGCTTACTGAAATCAGTGAGAGGAGGGGAGCTTCAACTCCAGTGGTTAACGCTTCATTCTGCCCTTTTTCTCCGTAGATAAAAACATTGGCTTTGTAATGCCTACTCATTTTTTTAAGATCAGTACGACAAACCTAAATTGTCCAATGGATGTGCGTGCTGTGTTAGCATTGCAAGTCACATTAGACTTCTGAAAAAATATCTATTTCATTTTACAATAATTCCAGTCTGTGCAGCAAACGAATGTATTTTTAAGGAAATCTGTTTAACCAGGAAAATCACTAAGGAATTCCTCAGGAGTTATATATAGCTTTTAGTTGACAGACTTCCTTAAATAACTCCTTTTTCTATGTCTACAGTAATTAAAACAAAAATTGTCCTTTGAGTATTTGCTGTTGGCAAGATGTATTTAGTTTAATTTTCTCCAAATGCTCAAGAGCTTTCTACATTTATGGGGAAGGAGTTTGGTCTTGTGAACATGAGAGAGATTCACATTCTTTGAATTTGCTCTAAGGTAATATATTCCAGTATACATCTCTGGTTCTCCTGGTCATTTTGAGGGAGTGCAGAAATTGTCTGCTCATTGCATCAGTAGTCACTGTCCTGGAAGCTGATTTAGTGGCATGACAGCTGTAGCATTACAAACAACATCAGTTGTGGGGCTTTGGGGATAAAATTCCCCTCTAAGTAACCAAAGAAGGCAGTCCCGATTACAGAAAATGGTGACGTTGAACAGAACTGCTCTGAATACATGCAGGAAACAAGCGGAAGAGAAGTGCGTTCGTAAGCAATCTTGTCCTGGGTGCAGGTTGGGCTGTGTTAAAGCACGACGAATTTATGTTAAAGATGAAACACAAATGCTCTCGCAGGAGGTTAGCAGGGGGCGTCTTCATTTTTGAAAAGTAACGTACACTTAAATGTTGAAATACATTTTAATGAATGACACTGTACATCTATATGAAAATGTTCCGTGCAGTGTGATAGGCCACCAGAGAAGACTCGGGTATGAAAAAAAGCGTTGTTGTTTGTGACTGAATGAGTGAATAACCATTAGCTTAAAGGAACACACAAACTAGATCTAAATGCTTAATTAAATATTTTGGTATTTGCTCTGGGATTTATTTGTCAACAAGTGACTGATGATTCTTCCTTTATACGCATCCATCTACCTTGCTTATGAGTTTGTTAACTTCCTCAGGTGATGGTTAAAAGATCAGTGCATATTTGGCAAACTAGAAAGATGGTGAGAAAATGCAGCAAAATGAAACGTTAACTGAAAGTTCTTCCATTTTGCCACATGTTCTTTTCAAACAAATGTGCCAGATTAACTGAAAGACAGAAGTTTACCAAGATTTTCAAAGACAGAAAAGGAGTAGAAACATTTCTACTAATTAGAAGAAAAAAATATATTTCATTATGCCTTCCTTGTCCTCAATTCCAGCTGTGAATTTAGAATTAATATACTCTGATTCTGAATCCGTAAGAGAAATTGGCTGTAAACAAAAGCAAACATTTATTTTCGTTACTAAAGCTGAGAAAAATGTAATCTGTATGACAAGAAAAATGTATATAGTATTGGAATAAAAAACATTTTTTAATTAAAAAAAATAGTATAACAAAGGGAAAAAAACAAAGAAATGAGATTTTTTTTTTTTTTTTTTAATGCAGTTTTTAACTGGTTAAGATCTCCCTTTCAGCACAGCATGGGATATAACATGAATCTTAACTGTGATCTAAAAATCTGCTCATGTTTCCTCATAGTTGGGACTTTGCTACATTACCTCATTTTAACTGACAGAAGTGAAACTGCTAGATTTTTGGAGACTGTTAGAAATAATTTTTTTTCCTATGGCTATTAGTTCATTAATAATCTTGCCATCTCTCCTGAAAAATTCATGAAAAACTCTTAATGCTAAAAAGCAACTCATAAGTCATTTCCTATAAACCTGAAGTAATATTAAGCATTTGTAAATATGACCTTCCTTTGCAGGATTTGTCTCTCTTTTTATTTTTTCTTTCTGAATCTGTCCTCCTGTTATCTTTGAATATCCATGAAAGAAGCCAAAGAAATGGGAACTCATATATGTAGTGATATTAGTCATCTTACTCACAGATATTCTATAGCTTGTCCTTTTTTCCACTTCCTCTTACCTGGTCCTTTCATAACTCAGTCTCTCTGGTTGGAGCCAATGGGTCTTACAAATGTAATTTATACAGTAGTTGCTGATTTAAATGGCAAAAATCCAAAATCTTATGCTTTTTAAAAAATGTAAGACTGTCTGGAACTCATTAACAAAAGTTCTTGATTGACTACAGCAGGAATTCTGTTTTTTTTTTTTAACTGTTCATTTTATTCATGAGCTTCAGCTTTCCAAAAATACTGTGGAATTGTGGTTTTTTTCCCACTGTCTTTGTGTCCACTGGACTCAGCCTAAACTTTGTCAGTGGTAATATATAGGATGATGCCAGTTGTGAGATATCATGACCAATGACCACCAACCACACTGGCAAGATAAACACTGCAACAGGAGTTTTCATAATAGAGGAATTCCAGGATGCAGTAGACTTACTTTAGTCCTGAAACTGAGAAACTTCTAAGCATGTATTAAAAAAAAAAAAAAAAAAAAAGTTAGAATATGAGGTTATTAGGTTATAATATAAGGTTGTATGTTAGTGCCAAACACTTGCCCGTGAATAAAGTAGCCTAGCTACTTTACTATTCCATTCTGCATGTCTGAAAATCAAAACACGTCAACTTTGCCTTATCCAACCTGAGAGAAAGTAGTGGAACCAGCTTGGTTCCATTTGGGAATAATTGAGACTCTCTGATGGTAAAGAAACAGCCTGCTTGTTAATTTGTGACTAGAGCTATTCTGATGAAGATTATACTAGTGTTAATTAGTGGAGTCATAACTTGAGGAGCTATTAGATCTCACTGACCTTCTTCCTGCATAAATTTTGACCCTTACTATTTCTACATTGAACACCCAAAATAAGAATCGACTCATGCTGGTATTAAGTATGGGACAAGTTTATTTTATTATAGTTTTGTAAAACCCCACTGGTATCCACTCCTTCATTTTAGATTTGGGATAAAGATATCGGAAAAGTATAAAAGTATGGGGTAAAGCAATCGCTGATGGTGGGTCCAGTTGCACGCTCTGCTCTGTTTAGTAGCTTTCTGTGGACGGGATGTGAATTACGCAGGTGGGCTTGAGGATCCTCCTGTTGGTACTTAGATCTCTGAAGACATCACTCGCTGCCAGATATTATCAACATACGTGGCACCTATTTTGGAAGGAACGGGTTTTCTTTTAAGACGTTTTGCCATTTTAATGGTAAATGATGTTACTGTATGCCATTTCATCACTTTTACCAGGTGAGGCATATGCTCTTTCTGGTGACTGGTGTATTGATCTGTGTGCACCCTAATTGGTGCTTCTGTGAGCAAAGCACAACTTCTCTGCCCTCACAGAAATTCCTCACTGGCATCTCTACTGTGCTCTTCACTCTAGCATTGCAGTGCTTTGCATGCATACTTTTCTAGTTAATGTACATCTTTAGATTTGGCTGAGAGGTAATGAGATATTTGGATAGGCCATGAAATAGAGTGCTAAGTATGCTTTCTGTACTTTCCTCACTTGATCATATCAGCTTCTGGTTTTAAAATGATGCATTTTAGGGCAGTGTGACAGAGCTCAGAGGTAAAAAATAAAAATCCCAAGAAAGATACAAAATGATGAAAAATACACTGAAAAGACTTCCTCTACTTTCCTCTCTCATTTGCTCTTTTTATCTTAAATACCTGCTTTATTGGAAGACAGTACATTAATCAGACATCTCATAAGCCAGACTCTTACGTAGCTTGATCAATTTTGGGGTGAAATTGAGCTATGCTGTCTAAAAATGCTTATTGGTCTCTATGGGTTTGAGCTGAATTTATTTAATATAAAGTGCAATATAAAAAGCCCTCTCTGCAGCTAATTAGCTTCCAGGTTATTGCAGGCCCAAAGGCAGTGTGGTGAGTTTTCACTGTTACTTGCAACAATCAGCAGTATTTAATTCTTACGTTATACAAAGAAGATGGCACGTGCTCATTTGGCTTCTATGAATACATTGCTTTTAGGCTCTAATTTCATTTTTAACTTTTTTTTGTCTCTTAAAAAGGCCGCTAATATGAGGAACTTTGCTGAAATTGGTTGTTATGAAATCACAGCAGCGGTAAACGTGTATGTTCCTCCAGAATCATACTACCGTAGCCAGGGGCAAGATTTGTTTGTTACATTGAAAACCTAAAACAAATAGGGCTTATTCAGACTCCTCTGGGATAGGGCTGACCTAGACTTATTAATTATTCCTGTTTCCTAAGGAGACAACATAAGCTTTAACTACATTGGATAATCCCGCTTTCTCAGAAAACATTTACACATGTTCCAATACCCAGTTAGCAGTGGCAGGCAGGAACTCTTTAGTGGTTAGAGAAGTGGCAGAAGGTTAAATCATTTGACTGTGATGTTATGTTGATTGTTCTTCTAGAGTGTACAGTAACATCTTAAAAAAGAAAAGAAACAAAGTGGGTGTATTCATTTCTGAACAAACAGAGCTGACAAGTTAAAGAATATGTGAATGTCTTAAGCTGAGACCAAAGTGCTTCATTTATAATGGAGATTACGGTAAGGAAAAAATGAAGTTGTCTAAATGTCTCTTGAGCCTTTATTCTGATTTGCCCACAAGTTAATATCGCAACCAGCACTTAACAAAATGCAGGGTTGTATTATCTTTTAGCAAATGCCAGTCATGTACAATCCAAACAGGTCAATTACCAGCAATTCTCTGAAGATCTTCTGAAACCTCAGAAGAGTTATAGATGCCAAGAAAATGTCTAGATGCACAGAGACAGAGGAAAAGAAATAGGGCAGAAAACAATTTGCAGAAATGAAACTTAACCCAGAGAGGGGAGAACCTAGCCTGATTTCCATTTCCATTTTAAATATTTATGTAGAGACATACATTTAATGTGAATCTAAATTATAGAAAAAGCATACATGTAACATGGAAGGGGAGAGAGGGAGGGAGGGGAGGAATGAAGGGAGGAAGTAGGGAAGGGAGGAGGGAGGGAATGAAGGGAGGAAGACAGGAAGGAAGGAAGGAGAGGGGAAGAAAGTTAAAAGATGGAAAGGAAAGGAGGGAGGGAAGGAGAGGAGGTAGGGAGGGAAGAGAGGGAGGAGGGAAGGAAAGAAGGCATGGAGGGAAGTAGGGAAGAGAGGGAAAGAAGGAAGGGAAGGAAGGGAGGGAGAACGGAAGGGAAGGAAGCAAGGAGGAGAAGGGAAGAGACAGGGAGGGGGAAGGGAAGGGAAGAGACAGGGAGGGGGAAGAGAAGGGAAGAGACAGGGAGGGGGAAGGGAAGGGAAGAGACAGGGAGGGGGAAGGGAAGGGAAGAGACAGGGAGGGGGAAGGGAAGGGAAGAGACAGGGAGGGGGAAGAGAAGGGAAGGGAAGGGAAGGGAAGGGAAGGGAAGGGAAGGGAAGGGAAGGGAAGGGAAGGGAAGGGAAGGGAAGGGAAGGGAAGGGAAGGGAAGGGAAGGGAAGGGAAGGGAAGGGAAGGGAAGGGAAGGGAAGGGAAGGGAGGGGGAAGGGAGGGGGAAGAGAGGGGGAAGAGAAGGGAAGGGAAAGGAAGAAAGAAGAGGGAGGGGGGAAGGGAAGGGCAACAGTGAAGTGAGGAAGGGATGAAAGGAAGGAAGAGAGGAAAGGGAGGAAGGAAGGCGGAAAGGAGGGTAGGGAGAATAGGAAGGGAAGAGAGAAGGAGGGAAGAGAAGAGCGAAGGAAGGAAGGAGGAAGGAGGGAGGGAGGGGGGAAGGAAGGGAGGGAGGAAGGAAGGGAGGAAGGGAGGAAAGAAGGAAAACGAGGGTAGGGAGAATGGGAAGGGAAGAGAGAAGGAGGGAATGGAAGAGGAAAGGAAAGAAAGGAGGAGGGTAGGAAAGGGAAGGGATGGAAGGGAGGGAGGGAGAAAGGAAGGACAGGAAGAATGGGAGGGAGGATGGAAGGGAGGGAGGGAAGGAAAGGGAGGGAGGGAGGGAGGGAAAGGAAGGAAGGGAGGAGGGAAGGGAAGAGAGGAAGGAAAAGAAGGGAAGGGAGGAAGGAAGGAGGAAAGGAGGAAAGGAGAGAAGGAGCAAGGGAAGGGGTAAAAGGAGGGAAGGAAGGGACAGAAAGGGAGGGGAGGAAACAGGGAGGGAGGCAGGGAGGGAGAAAGGAAGGCAGGACGGGAAGGAAAGGAAAGAAGGAAGGAAAGAAGGAGGGAAGAAAGGAAGAGAGGAAAGGAAGGCATGGAAGGTGAAGTGAGGGAAAATAAGGGAGGGAGGGAATGAGGGAACAAAGGGAGGAAGGGAGAAAAAAAGAGAGGGAAAGGAGGGAAGTAAGGTAGGAAGGGAAGGGAGGAAGGAAGGGAGGAAGGAAAAAGGAAAGGGAGGGAAGGATGGGAAGGAAAAAGGAAAGGGAGGGAAGGATGGGAAGGAAGAGAGGGAAGGGAGGAAGGAAGGGAGGAAGGAAAGGATGGAAGGAGGGAAGGGAAGGAAGGGAGGGAGGAAGTAGGTAAAGGAGGAAGGAACGGGAGGGAAGGACGGGAAGGTAGGGAGGGAAGAGAAAGAGGGAAGGGATGGAGGGATTAAAGGTAGGAAGGAAGGGAAGGAAGGAAGGGAAGGAAAAGGATGGATGGAAGGTAGAAAGGGAGAGAGGGTGGGAATGGAAGGGAGAAAGGAAAGGAAGGGAGAAAGGAAGGGAAGGGAGAAAGGAAGGAAGGGAAGGTAGGAAGGAAGCCCAGACCTTTGAGTGTGAAAATTATACATGCCATGTTATTTTTGTTTATAGTCATTTAAATTCATATCTGAGAATAAGACATTTATAATTATTACCTCACATGATATATGATTTTTATACATATATCATGTTTTATATCATATATATTGATTATATAAGAATATATTTTAATTATATATTACAGTTATGCTTTATGTTTAATAAACAGTTCTCACACTCAACAGGAATTTGTGTGAATTAAGTACATGATGTATTGAGAATAAATAAAGATGAAACTATGGAGAGAAAAATAAGGTGGACAAGTAAAATGGGCATTCAAAAAGCATTCATTCAAGATACACAAGGCAGGAATGGGAAACCATAAGTATGGTGATGGGATGGCACAGAGGTGAGATTGAAAGCAGGGTGTGGGAAAAAACACAGCCGGTGCAATTGCAGACCAGGACTCCCACTCACTCACAGAAACACATACCTGGGTGGCTGAACCTAGCAGTCCTTGCCAGCTCTGCTCCTGTGAGTGCAGCTGCCATTGTAAAAAAAAAAAGAAAATTAAAAAAAAAGCACGAAGTTGGGCAGGTACAGCAGGTGATACTGTAGCCTATGGGTACACACAGCCCTGTCAGGGTTCAGTTACCTGACAAAGAAGAGCAGGTAAACTGAACTGCACGCAGACACTGACAAAAGTAGGGTAACACCCACGTGCTGAGCGTGAGCAGTTGAGCTTACACTGATGGAAAAAGGGATCTGAGTAGCTAAAACACAGTTCATCACCCAGAGATGAAAATATAACTATAAATAAGTATACATTTCTGAGCCATGAGAGGAATGGTAGAGAGGAGAAATGGTATCTGTCCTTCTCCTGTCCTGAACTGTTTGCTTTTATCTCGCATTTTTTTAAATAACTCAGATGTTGTTGGCAGTGGAAATCATGCCTTTTTGTACATGAACCCAAAAACAACTGGAAATCTTGTTCCTGACTTAGGAGTGAGACACATGTATGTACTAACACCACTTCACGCAGGCTTTCACGTTCTTACCCTGCCCCCAACATTCCTCTGCTTCCAAGTGTCTGTGTTTCATTTTGCACCCTCACTGAAAGTCATGGCAAACAACTGTGCAGAGCAAAAGTATTAAAAAAAAAAAACAAAAAAAAACAAACATAGGAAGACCAGTTTTTAAGAGATAAATATAAAACCAATATTACATCTTGAGATCACGGTCAATCAAATGCTGTACATGAAAGAGCAAAGGCCAGGTTCTGTTCACATTTTTAGCGCTATTAAAAATCTAAAAAATAAAAATAAAAAAATTGCTATTAGTCCATTTGTGAGTGCCACTGAAGAATCTGCCATTTTTTCCTGCAATAGAATGGCATGAAATAATACAGCTTTTAATTCCAGGAGCTTGTTTCTTAGTGCAGATTCTCATTTCACAACTAGGATTAGCTGAACTCTTCACCTGCTCCCCAGAGGACAAGCAGACAGATGGCTCCTGAGGAAGGTCAGCAGAAACGTTCACGCATACATATTTTTGCACAAACTGCTTACGAGCTGCTTTCCCCCTTTTTTTTGAAAGCAATTTTACCATGTTTTCCAATCTTTCCCAGTTTCAACATGGCTGAATTAATTTCACACAAAAAAGTGTGGGAGCAGCGGCCTCAGCTCCCCTGGATAAACGCTGGGCTACGTGCTGCTTGTGTTTGACTATTGGGAAGTCCGGCCAGGCAAGGCATCAATCTTTTGTCAATGAAAGGGGTACATTATCAGCTTCTCGGCTGTTTCTTTCCTAAACGGTTACCTGAGGTTTAAGATAAATATCCAACATGCTTATTTTATAAATACATAAATAAATACATGAATAAATAACCAGAGCACCAGAATTACATTCTTCCCTACAACCATCTCTCCAATTGCAAGGGGATCTCAACCTTGTGCAGCAGATACGTATGGTAACCTGATCTGGTTACCTGTGTCTGGTTGGCCTTGCATTATCCCCTCCCCACAACATTCCAGCGCTCACACCCAGCTTTCCGCAAAGTCTCACAGATCTTTAACGCCAGAGAAATTCCTCAGACGGCCTCCAAACACGTCAGTTTCTTCCCTTGTGACCTGCTGTCCTGCACTCTCCTACTGCTATAGAAGAAGCTATTTTAGTCTGCTTGGACTAAACAACAGAAAATAAAACATAAAAATAATTAAGTTGAATGCGATACCCTTTTCTCATGCTAATTAGTTGACAATCACTTACGGAATGACTTTATTAAGTGGCAGAAGAGGATGCATCACCTGGTCACGTATAAAGGCAAAACCTGCAGTAAAATAAGAGCCTAAAAGTATCATAGAGATGTTTGTGACCAGTGTGAGGAACTGGAGGCCGCTGCTGGAAGCCACTTTGGTACATGATGGGCTCAGATATGTTGAAACAGAACTCAAAGTCAGAAAACTACAGCTCAGAAGAAATCCCTTTGAATGAGGAGAAACAGAGAACTAAAACCATGATGTTTGTAGGAGCTGTAGATAAGATTATATGTATTACATTTAGAGAGGTCCTCAGAGGAAAATGAAAAGATCTCACTGAAAAACATCAGCTACAATAACAAAGTGAAAAGGCTTCCAAGTGCATAGATAAGCAATTTTGGAAAACCAAACTATGCCTCCATGATCTGTTGTATTCTTGTTGCAGAATGGGTTTTAACCCATGTGTACAGTTTTAGGGTTAATAAGCATCATCCAAAACAAGTATATAAAAAGCAGCACCTCATTCAGCACATTCACTGGGATTTCCAGTGCATTTATTCCATTTTCTGCTGGGATCACAGTTAGAGCAATGATTAGAAAACAATATGGCAGGAAATGATGCTAAACATTTGAGTTATGTATCACAGACTGTCTCAAATTCTCTGACTTTAGATTTAAATCTTTTCAAAGTTTTCCTGAAGTTTTTGGCACATTTTCTGCAAGATACATATGACAAAGACAGTAGAGTCATGGAGGACTCAGGCCCTCTGCTATTGTTTAAATGCTGACGCTTAAGGTTTAAATTTGCAAAGAATGAATTATTCTACATCAAAACTAAGGTGTTGCATGTTTATTTACAGACCAAACTCCGGTAGTAATGTGTACTCGTCATGCGAACTGATTTGAATTTAATTCTAAAGTCTGTTTTGCACCAGGAAAACATGAGTTTCATTTTACTCGTCTCTGTTTTCAATTATAATTTGACAAAAGAAATAACTGCGTTACCTATTTGATTTGCCAGAACTTTATCCCAGCACCACCTGTTGAGCCCTCGGCACTCGAATCCTGACATATAGCAGAGAACAAAATTATGCAGTTGGCACACTGACTAGTAAGGATGCCAACAAAAGCATAATATATCCTTTGTACTCAAAGTACAACAAAATATATATTAAGCTACCAACTGCAAAGGTTTAAGAAAACCACATGTAATTATACAGGAACATATCTTTCCAACAAATAACTCAGTAGAAAAATGGTATGGAAGTTAGAAAGGACCCTTTTTGTTTTATGTGCACTAGTTAGTACGGCAAGCTTAAACTAAATGAAGTTTCACAATGCCTTAGTAGATTTACATTAGAGATGGCAAAGGGACAGCCAGCTAGTTTATACAAATAGATGCGTTCAACGCTATCAACTTCTCAGTTTAAATGAAATGTCCCATGTTTGTTTATGGTTGGGTACCTGGCACAGCACAGCAGAAGGACTCTCAGCACTCATCCCAATCAAATCCCTTCTATTGCCATTGGCTGCAACTAAAGTAGTAAGAATCAGCTGTGTTTCCAAAGTTTACTTCTTTAAAGCACCTCTTTGCCACAGAATTCCTCACAGTTGCTTTCCTAGCACTGCAGCTCTTCTGACCCAAGGTCTGCAGAAAAGAGGAGGCAGAACTTAGGGGCAGATAGCAGGGATGAGGCAAAGTTGCCCCTCCAGGTCTGCGGCAGTCTGTAAAGTCTCCTCTGGTCATAAGGCTAACAGACACACAGCCCCTGCAGGAATGGGCTCTTAACCAGGACATGAGAGGATGGGTCCACAACTCCCTTCAAACAGATCTAAGGACGTGGACAGGGTAAGGCAGAAAGAGCTAGTAAGCCCACAGGGAAGGGAAAAGCAGTTTGGGAAGTAGGAAAGATTAACTGCCAGTTTTCCAGTGTTGTAACAATACTGCTGATGAATCTGTGCAGGGCTGAGCACAGAAGTTCTGAAGTCAGCTTAAGCTTTTGTTGTTATTACAGCATGAAGCGTACAGGAAAGACCACTAAAACTCTGTACAAAGGCATTAAGTTAAATGAAGTATCTATAAAATCTTTGGTAGTGAAGCATAACTTTGAGATAGTTTGGAAGGAAAGATAAGAAACCTGAACTACCTGGTTTTGGAAACAAGCAAACAAACCAGCTGTGAATCACAGAGTAACCAAAGGATTTTACTTACTGGGATAGCTTTTGCACCCTTAAAGTTGGTATTGTCGCAGAACTTGCTGAGGATGCTGTCCATCCATTCATCCAGTTTACTGAGAAGGTGTCCAACAAGACTGGGCTCAGTACTGATCCTGGGGGAACACCAACTAGACTCTGCACTGCTGATCATAACCCTCTGTGCTGTGCCATCAGCCAGTTCTCAGCCCACCTTCCTGTCCACTCATTTGTTCCACAACTCCTAACCTTACCTATGAGGATGTTATGGGAGATAAGTGTCAAAAGCCTCGCAGAAGGCAGATAACACCCACTGCTCTCCTCTCATCTCTCCAGCAGGTCACAACATCAGCCAATATTTTACTAGATTAACTCTTGCACTCTAAGCTATAGTTAGATCATACAAGCTTAAATGTACCTCCCATCACCAGACACAACGTTCTCTGATATGATTTTTGAACTGTACATATGCAACCAAGAAAGTTCAGTGAATGAACTCTGAAAGTGGAGCATTTCAAATTGTATCCAGAAAAATTGAGAATATTTTTGCATATGAATTAGTTTCTAACCTACATTGCAGTAACCAGCATTCAGCAGAGGCTCCACATTTGAGGGTTCAAGTTGACTGACACAGTGAGACCTGCTCTGAGCAGGGCCTGGACTCAGGTGACAGTGAGAGTTCCTGTCCAGCCTGAATTATTCTGTGATTCTAAAACTGACCTGAAGAAATTAGAAATATTTTCCTTGAAGATGCTATTAAATTAAAATTTATGAAATTCAACTTCATTTCTTATTCATATAAAGGTTGGAATTTTGTATTTGCTATTTATAATTGTTCACAGATAATATTTTCATAATTATATGCAAAAGCATTTATTATTATTTATTTACGTTTTGCTTAAGGTTTGAATAAAATAGAAAAAGTAAATCTACTAATCCATAAGTGGTCATACTAAAGCATACTGGGTGCCTGTGGTTTAAACCCCATCTCTCCAAGGAGAGATTTTTAGCTAAAAACTCTAAAATGGTGGTTGGAAACAGACACCAATATCTTTAATTCTGCTGTGATGGAAATTGATGATGTAAAATGACAATTGCTAATGAAAAAAACTTCCCTGCAAAGTTGTAATAGCAACTGTAAGAACACTTGCTAAGAGATAGACCACATTTAGGAAAGCCAAATCTAGTTGATCTCACCTTCTCAATTCCAAATATCCTTTGTGGTAGCTACATTTCATTTAGAAAAATAAGTCTAAAGGAAGTACACACATGGCAGGTAGTTTGGCATCAACCACTTCTACATTTCTCAGATGTACAGCAGCCAAGAAAATGTTCCAAAATTTAATTCTTTTCAGATAGCTGAGCTCGTGTAAACTTTACTCTTGATGAAGACTACAGATGAAATATCTGGATGCTGTTCCAAATAAGGCATTAAATGTCTCCTACAATAGAATACATCATGTTCTCCTGATTTCTCCCTTGTTCAAAGTAATTACGAATTCTGAAATCACACTGTGGAATTTTGATGATGTTTTTCATAAACTAGTAAGAAAACTCATTCCAGACAAGCCTGGTTTTTGCCTACCATGGTATCTCCATCATACCCATTCTTTGGCTGCATTTCAAGTAGCCTCACAAAGACACTGAAAAGATAATGAAAATTCTTGAACTGTTTCTTGTCTGTCCCTTGTATTATCACAGAAGATGGATTTCACTGTTGAACTTATTTCCATTAAATTTTTTTGAAGAATTAATAATTCTGGAACTAAGCATCCATGGTTCTTACCTCAGCTTAGTCTGAAGCACTGCTCCAATTGGTTGCCTCTGTTTTGCACCACGTTTTTCATATTGAATATTCTCATAGCACACACATATCCTCTAGTTGAAACTAGTGATGCGAGGGATCCTCTCACTTTAAGCCTGAGTTTACCTGGCATTGAAGGGGACTGAGGTCAGTTGACTTAAAATGGCTAATCTGCAATCTGCACCTGCTGAAGGGATAAGTAAATCCAAAGGGAGAGTTTCATAAATTCCCAGAAAGATCTTGGTATCATCATAATAGATCTGACAGCACTCACAGTTTGGCTGTCTTGACAAAGAAGAATCACAACCAGCTTTGGTGTAGTTCCCCAGCAGGAGGCAGTTCTCAAAGTGCTATCAAGCAGCCCCTGCCCTCCTCATCTCGTGGCAACTTGTCATCAACTCCTCTGCCAGCTTCCACCAACACTGAGGTCAAATAATAGATGTGGGAGAGAAAGAGAGCAAGGTGTGCTTTCACACTTTGCCACTTACTTCTCTGCATCTCCTTTTTACATCATCATTTACAGAGATACTTCCACAGAAGTGGTCTCAGGGCAGGGCACAGACCAGCATTTTCGTAGAAAATCCCAGAATTTGAATAGGATTCTATTAAAAACTGCCGTATGAGCTTAATGTGCTTTGGAATTAATCTTGGAGCACTTTTTGTTGAACCACCTATTAAAGCTCCACATTGAGAACAATATTCACTACTGCCTTCTACAGAGTTTTTGCTGGAACTTGTCCTGTTCTGCTTCCTGCCTGTCATAATCACATCATCTCTCCTGCAAGCAGAGCCTTTCTCAGTTCTGGAAACTGGCTGAGAATGACCCAGTAATGTGCAAAAGAAAGTGATTTCCTGCCTTGAATAAGTGCTGCATTCAGAAGAATTTAATTTCACTGTCATCCTCAGAGCCGGCAGGAGGAGTCACCAGTTTGCTGACCAAGGCTGCCAGTGAGGCACACGCTGTGCTAGGGGAGCTAGCAGGGGTGATGATTTCATCTGGCAGCACCCAACGCTGGCTGTTAGTGTTGGCCCTTGTCCATTTCAGCAGCTATATGGACTAGGAAATTTCAGGAACGGTCATGAAATTATTACCTTAAATTGTCTTCAAAGAGTTGTCCTGATTTATGATTGTCTTAAAGCACATAAACACATTTTAGCACATTTTACCCATTTCAAGGGATACCCAATACACAAGGGAGTTTTTCCCTTCCTTCTTAGGGCTGTAAAAACAAAACCAGGATGCTTCTTGCCAAACTTGCTCAAAGTTTGCACAGATTTGTTCGGACAGATGTGGTGGAAAACTGTATCCAGCCTTTTGAGTACTGGCCCACGCACCTCCTTACATCTCAGTAGTGCTCCTGCCAGCTTCTAACGCAGATCTCTACCAAAAGATTGCTTTTGTTTGGACTTCAAGTTTAAAAAACAGGCCGTATGAAACCGGTTGTCATTTTGGATCTGTAAAACACAAAAACCCGGGCTGCGAAGGGATTCCCGCCTCTCGCCCGCACATCACGAGCCGCCCGGCAGCGCAGCTCCCCCCTTTCGCCGCCCTGCTGTCCCTCCGCGCGCCCAGCAGAGGGCGCTGCCGCCCGCCCCTGGGCTGCGTGTGGCACGAGGTGGGGCGCGCGGCGCGATTAATCCGGCAGGGAAAAACCTCAACCCCCGCCCCCCCTCATCCCCCCGGCCTCCCGTCCCTACTGTCGGGACGCGGTGGCACACCTACGTTGTTTTTCTCCTCTGGGATGTCTCAGCACGAACCAGACCAGCCGGTTGGGTTCTCCTTTCCACGCACACAACAAAATGAAATCTGACGGCTGATGGCTGCTCTCCTCTGGATGGCGGTAACGGCTGCTTACACGCCTCTGACCCGCGGCTGCCATCCCACAGCGAGGGGTTTCCTCCCCTTTGTCAACGCGCGGTCCAGAACAAACATTCCACTTCATCCGTTCCGTGCTGGATTTTTAAACCCAAACTTGAAAGCTGAGAACGCTTTCACTTAAGAGCTCGTTTAATGTAGAAATCACGTTGCATGAGCACTACGTATGGAAACAGACCAGGAGCGGGAGGCATGGAATCAGTGCTGGATATTGCTACTATTCCTATCTGGTTGTGCAAAGCACGCTGCTGTAAAAGTCCAGTCCTTTGGCGCTAGGCAGCAAAGCAGCACTAAGGTACCTGAGTGCCCTGCCTGACAGTCTGTCAGGACATCCGCTGCTTCAGGTGTTCTCCTATAGCAAATACTCAGGGTAATTTCCAAACACCCATAGGGCAGCCGTGTTTGTCAGTTTGAACAGGAGAGACCGCAGGAAAGTTAAGCCCTGCTCCCAGCATCTGACCAAAGCTGTGCTCAGACGCAGGGCTGGGCCCAGGGCTGCCGCCCTTCTGTGCTGCTGGAAGCATGCGGCTCAGAGAGAGGCCTGCACTCACACAGCTGAGCCCAGTGACGAGGCAGCAGACCCCACGTGAGCGTTCGGCTCTGGGTCCACCTGCAAAGCTACCTGCAGGCATTTTGTGAGAGCTGGGTGCTTTTGTGCCCCAAATGCAAAGCCATTTATGATACTGTTCTGTATCAACTCCTATTGTCCTGTTCTTCAACAACATGATAAGGTTTTGACCATTTAGCTCTTTTTCACTCATCCCAAGGAGGGAAGCAGAAAAGCCAGTCCCCTGAGGCTCCTACCTGAGAACAGGAAGTCTGCTGTGGTGGCAGAAACATCAACTCAGCCCTGGAAGCAACGTGCTTCAGCAAGGCACAGAATCCCCTGTGATTCTTTAACATACATGGTTGCAAGTTTGCTGCTGCTCTGGCAACCGTGTATGTTAAAGAATCACCTCCGGCTGCCATGAATCCAGCTCTGCAGTGTGGAAGGGAGCAGAGAATCAGCGGCAGAGCAGCCTCCTCCATTACGGCTCAGGTAATTTGCTCTGGGAACATAAAAGAGGTGCCCAAGAGGCTTTAAAACCTGAAGATATCACTGGGAAATAAACTGCCAATATCTCCTAGCAATTGCCTTAGCTTTTTTTTTTTTTTTTTTTGAGTACCAGAAAACATGAAAAACAATAACGCAACTAAGAAGGTGATATCACAGCTTGCCACAAAGCTCAGCTTTCAGCCTTTAAGGAGATGAAAAAAGGCAACTAAATCATTTTTTACAGCGTTTTTTCTGCAGGTCCATACCTTTGAGATTCCTTGATCTGCTGCAAAATTTTCTCTGAAGACTTTATTATGAAGTTCTGGTCCTGGCACCAGTTTGTCAGCAGATGACAAAGCACTGTGAGGTGCCTTCCCAAAAGGTTTCTCCATGGCTCGTTTGTGAAGAGCTGTTACTATTCCTGCTGACTTCTGAGCTCAGAAAAGGCAAAGAAGGAAAAAAGAAGTTAAGAGGAAATACATCAGTGGTGGTATTTTCTTTCTTTCCCTATCACAGGCCCCCCTCCCAACTCCATTAGTTTGCTTTTTTTTTACTGTGGTATCAGATTAAAAAAAAAAAAAAAGAGACACATGATGCAAAATATTAAATAGCTTAAATGGTCACCTGTGAATGTACTTTTACTAGATAATTTTTTAGGCATAAGCTTTGTCCAGTCAATGGGAAGGAGGCTTCTGCCATATAAAAGCATGACGGGGCTACCGCATCCCTCAGCTCACTCAATCTGCCATGTGAATAATCGAATAGCACTCTGTGCAGTCTCATTTTTAATCAGGTGTGGCTCATAAGCCTCCCTTTCCCTTAGCTCCAGGCAATGCCTGTACCCGTTTCCTAGAGGACCGTATGGACACATGGTATAATACAGGCATGTCCAACACGTGGCCCAGCCCCTGCCCTCTCAAATACTGTTATGGTGCTCTTTGTATCAATTGTAGTTTCCATGGAAATAAAAAAGAGGCATTACTTTGTGAGTGACTTTTGTATACATGGCCCAAGCCTGTTCACTGAGTGCGACCCGGGCAAGCCAAAAGGTTGGACACCCATGATGTGATAAAGAGAAAACATGCAGCAATATGTAACTTTTAAGATTGTATTAATCTCCCTGATGCACAAAAACAGAGGCCTTTGGGAAACAAAATGCTTTCCTGCGTGATGCAGGGCGCTGCCGTGACAGCCAAGATTAGGAGGAAAGAAGACTGCAGAACAGCTCGGGCTGAGGGCCAAAAGCTGAGACGTTTCAGGTTCACTGTGAGGACAGAAGAGCACCGTGCACTTGAATTTCTCTCTGCTGGCACTATGACTGCGCTCAGCCAGTTAGCAGGTTGGGTTATATGTGAGCTCAGTCTGAAAAGGGACTGCAAGAAGATTAAAAATTCATGTGTGATGAACTTCTAAACTAAGTGAGATTACTAAATGGAAGACTGTTTTGTTTCTGGATTATTCAGAATCACTCTTTAAATTACAGTTTATAAGATATGGTCATTTTGCATTATAATTTAGAAGAATATATATTTGATTTTTACTGGCAGAACTGCCAATAATTTATGAGGAAAAATGCTGACTCTTAAAATAAAGAAAAGCAAATAACAAGTCAGCTTGGGACAGCAATCCTGTGTACCAGAATGGAGATGTTTGGCACCTGTAGGAACTCAAATTTAACTGCAAGTCGGCAGTCTTGCAGCTCTCCTTGCAAAAAATGGGGCATTTCTCTGAAATGCCTCCTGCTATTTCCACAATCTAACCAGCAAGAGCAGAGCCCAGAGCCTTACAACAAGCTTTCTTCCTTTCTCATGCAAATGTGGTGGCGGGGGAGCCTTACAGCACGGCTCTCTTGTAGGAATGAGGGTGGGCTCTCCCCCTTCAGCGCAGGGATAACATTGAATGTGCTTTCTGCTATGTGTCGCATGCGTTCATGAACTTCTCTGCAATGTTATACGAGGGGACAATACAAGTTCAGTTCATCACCATTAGTACTACCTTCAGGTTTGTTTCACTGAGTGATGTCCCGTTGCCTTATCTTCATGTATAGCATCAACACGCTGAGCCTACCTGCAGGAAATCTAAGAAAATAAGTCTCTCATTGTGGGATATAACTTGTTTTAAAAAGCTATTGTATAAAAAAATTCAACTTTATAAGTTGTTGGAGTTTCCTGAGGCAGTCTTGTCATTGTTGATAATGCATTAATCACAATACATCAGCATGCTACAGAAAGATTTTCCAGAGGTAACGATGCCCTTTGTGTAGCAAGCAAGAATGACTAAGGCATGAAAGGGCACACAGTGCGGTGAGGCACTCAGAGTGAGGAGTGCAAGGGCAGAGAAGGCACACACAAAACGATCACCTTCTGCAAGCCACGAAGAAGTAAGCAACAAAGGAAGTATACTAAGGGGAGAGCAATCAGGCTTGTGAAGAGAACAGACATGCATCCAAAGATCACCTGTAAACAAGGCTGGCTGCTGGGAGAATCCTGTGGAATCCAGAAGAAAGGGTCTGTTTTTCATGGGATGGACGCAGAGATCTGGTTATTCCATCACCCATGGGCTCTCTCCTGCCAAAGCTGCTGGATCTGAGGAATATATTGCAGAACTATCTGAACAGTATCTTGCGTCTTGAAATTCAGTTTCACACAATCAAGCCACAGCAGTTCAGTGGTAAAGGGCTATAAACAGAAAGGACAGAGTGAGCGTGAAGCATTTATCCTGTTGGCAAGTTGCATTTAAATTGATTTGCAAACTGGTTTCTTTATAAGGCCTTCAAAGGCCCCTCCTCTTCAGGTGGGTGTCCATATGAGAGCGTTTTGGGTTGCACCCAGATGGTCAAGGTCAAGACGCAGCCATTTCGAAGGCCAAAAATTGCCAAGCTGTACAGCTCTTGGCTAAGGGGAGCACCAACTCTTTGCTTAAGTAACTGTTTGATGGAAGGGTGTAGGAGCTGCCATAGCAATCTAATGTCATCTATCAACTGACTTTTAAGAGGTATCAGAAACCTAACCTGCATTCTACAAAGCTACTACAAAAAATGACCAGCAATGCTAAATAACAGATCAACAAGCTATTAGTTTGTTTAGCACAGACTTTTCTTAGATTTATTCCAAGATAAAAGGGTTTTTTGGTCATCTCCTGAACAAAAAATGCCATTTTGCATGAGTTAAAGAAATAATTAGACCCTTTTGACTGATGGAAATTGCTTGCTTTAAGCAAATGACACAAGATATACATAATAGGAATAAACAGAGTATTTTTTTAATCAAAAGTAAAAAAAAAAACAATAAAGTCTTTGATTTCACATCCTTAAATAGCATTAAGACAAACTGGTAGCTAACGAACGAAAATAATAATACATGTGCCTTGTGTATGAACCCCTATTTAAACTTTGGATCAGACATACTGCCTGGGAAAAGACAATTGCAGATGAATATTATGCCTAGGACTTGTCCCTGCTTTTTTCCTGGTCTGGCCTATTTTCCTGTGTTCTTATCCTCAGCATCTAGATAACAGTTCACTGAACACCTGAACAGTCTCCCAAGGAGTGCACATTTGTGCATGCATAACAAAGCAGCTCAGAGCCCGCTAACTTGCTCACATCAACAGAACAGACATAAAAAGGAAAGAAAAAAACAATTTACAACCTAGTGCTTCCTTTGCTCCATCTGTTTGTCACTGTGTGATGGGCCTGAATAGCAGGAGCTGGCAGGGCAAGGCTCTCAAGCTTTAAAACCTAGCTCTAGACAGGTGCTTCCAACAGGTATGTGAAATGAAGAGAGAATGGGGCTCTTTTCATATTGATAAATCAAGCCTAATCATGAAGAATCCTGAAAGTGTGTGAACTTCTGATAAGAGATTTATCAAGCATGTACTACACCAGCTGGGTGCTACACTGAATGAGCTGTTTTTCCTAGCAACGATACCTAGACAATAAGCTCACATCTACTGAAGAAGCGCTTTGCTGTCAGTGGAGATGCTGTTGTAGGAATTTGGGTGTGAAGCCAGGTGCAGACAAGGACAGCCAGGCCTCCAAGTTTCTACATGCTCAGATGCTGGGGGAACGGAGGATCTTTTAAAAGTCTTCACTTCTGTGCATCTGAGAGTTACTCTTCAGGAGAAAGAAAATGTATTTCACAAGGTAGATGGGGAGACAACAGAAATAACTGTCAATAATTAAACACAAGTCTGTGAGAAATGCCCATTGCAGATGTTCTTTTCTTAATACAGCATGGATTTGTAATTAAGTTTTAACAAGATTTCCTTGGCTCTAAAAGGACTTTGCATAAAAGCTTTTGTGGAAATGCAGAGGAAAGAGCTCCTGATCTAGAAAAGAGAAAAAGGAAGATGAATTTAGATTCTTTGCTAGAATGTGACTGAGTTTGCAATTTCTTGGATTAAACTGGGACAGACTTTGAAAGACTCCAAAGATCTGAGAGTAAGAGAGACTTCAATCATTCAGTTTTTCATCACTAGCAATATTAAAATCCCCGGATAAGATTATTCTTTGTCTCATACTCATATAAATAAGGACTAATTCTACTTAGGAAATGCCAAAGTTTGATTTAGAGGGAATTATTCCTGACCATTCAAAGTGGTAACAGAATATATCTCACAGTGAAAATAGAAGCCAAGCCATTATCTGCCCTGCCCAGAGAACAGTAACATACACTGCAATCCCTATCTGGGTACCTCATCTGAAAGAAATCTGATGATTTTTCCTGAAGCTATTCTGGGATAATTGTATCTTTGTCCATTATAAATTCACATACATTTTTCTAAGCAAAGCAAGGGTCCCATTGGCACCATTACAAATAATCTTATATGAGTTTTCCAAAGGTAAGTCTTGCTTAACTTCAACAGGGAATTAACTAAACACTCTACAGAAATTTTATTTGTCCTCATAAGCAATAATAGATCCCTGTAAATGTAAAGCAAGTCACACACAATCAAATATGCTGGCATAGGAGTAGTCATGCTCCCACTCCTATAAAAAGTAAATAAATGGTGCCAATAAAGATGTGTCAACATGTAAGAAGAAACCTTTTGTTTTAAAGCATACATAACTAAAAAATATTTTATAAGCTTTAAAAAATTCATTAAGACTCAGGCCCTGGTTGTTGGAAAGCATTCTCAGTGACTGGATCTGTCGCAGTCTCTTTGGAGTGAATTCTGCATTTTCACATGCAGAGAACACAGAGCAAGCTCAACTTACTTGAAACTGGGCCCTACTCTTCCTGGATTGTCACTGAGAATAGGAATAAATTTGTCTTTGTCCGTCCTTTCCATGCAACCCTATCCACTGTATCTACAGGCCTGTGCTTTTTTCCCCATTTTGGGCTCACTCCAGGCATGCAGGGAACCTCTGCAAGTCTCCTGAACTGCTGCATTTGCACAGAGAATGTAAAGTTGATGTATTTGCAATCATCAGCCAAACAAACGAGTATCTTTTACCTAAAAATATTGAAATGTTTCACTGCAATAGAAAGCTGACATAAGAAATTCATATGGCAGCTGATACAAAGTGTCATAGGGATTAATGTACGGGAACATCTCTGTAGCCCACCTCTCTCTCACACTGCAGTCAGCCACAACTGTTTCAAAGAGGAGACACGCAGTAAACAGGATTAGGCTGAAAAAATGACCAACAGAATTTGGATCCACATACAAATTTTCCCAGGGAGTCCAGATTTCAGCACAACCTGTTTGTAACACTAAGAAAAGTGCAACCATACACAGAGGACATCTTCTAACTGAAATGCTCATGCACAAAGATTTTCTACGCTTAACAGCTGGGCAAAGTTTACAAGGTAATTAAAGGCATGTGGAGCCCTTCTTTGCAGCACAGTGAACTTTCATGTAATACATCCCAGTCCTTACAAGTCACTGAAATGTCCCAAACTGAAGTGGTGCTTACAGCCAGGCTTGCTTTAGGAGATAACTATGTCACAAAAGCACTCCTGCCCTTTCCTGGGGAGTTTTTCAAACTGGCAAAGGTGAGGTAATGTATGTGTGAGACGGACAAAGACCAGCATTGTCACTCGTTAGTGATGGCACGGCACAGAAGGGTGCTTCTGCACCTTAAGTATAACTGAAATAAAGGGAAGTTTAAGCTGTCACTCTTACAGTTAGACTCTGTAACTGATAGATGGCTCTTCCAAGGTGCCCTTTTATACCAAGTCTCAATACAGAGTACCAGGATTTAATTCTGGAACTGATTCATAAATAATACTAAAGAATTGCATCAGTCAAATCTGTAGCTTTTCGTTAGTATCAGAAGTGCATAAACCATGTAAGACCTAGATGGATTTGGCAAACCATCTGAAGGATGTTTATTAACAGAAAAAGGTGAGTGCTACCTATGTTTGACAGGTCCCTGCCTTGTGAGTTAAATAACAGTTTTGGAAAATAAAACAAAACTCATGAGTACTTCCTTCAGTCTTTGGCCATCTGCATCACTTTGGAACATTCACGTAAAATAGACGTACTTGATTTTTTAACAGAAACATTTAATTCTCATTCACAGTTTGCTGTGAACAAAAACTTCAACACTTAAGAAATAAATGAAAGTGAGGAGCACATAAGATTCTTGCTACATCTGTTAGGGAACAGAAAAATATCTCAGAATCCCAGAAGCCTGGGGAGGGGAATGGGGATACTGGAGGAAGGGGCTGTATCTCATGGGCTCTAGGGCAGAAGTGCTTATTCCAGCAAAGCTCAGGGCACCTTGTAACATCATAGGAAGCGAAGCACAGACTATATCTTCCTAGTGAAAGATTTCAGAGAACTCCACTGAATATTTTCCTTCTGAAAGACCTTTTCATTTCCATTTTGAATAGTCAAGGAGAATGACCTAAGCTGGTATGTCCCTGTACCACTGAGTGTAACATGTTACTTAACCTGCAGTGCATTAGCAGTATATGGTATCCAGCAGACATGAGGCAACTCGCATTTCTAAGATGACAGAACCCTGTGTTGTGAGATTCTGTATTACAAGACTTCAGACTCTAAATAATTACAAGGCTCTCTTACCTAGATTCCGGGACTTCCTTCATGGTTTTAGAGGAAGTATTTCTGTCTCTGGTACTAATCCATGGTAGATTCACTCTTTGGAGCTGTGAAATTTCTTGTTACTCTATTTAGCAAAGACAGATCTTAGATATTTTAGTAAACAGGAATACACAATTATTGCATTGATAAGAGATATGAGGATGTATTCATCTCGGTTTTGCAGGGTAGCTATAATGGTCTCTGACACATGGAGCTGTGAAAGCAGTGACTGTTGGGCTCCGGAGCATTCTTTTTTTCCTGGATATTCTTTGCACTGCTAACATGTGATAATGTATCGTTGTATGTTAATCCATCTTGTCAGCTCATCTGAAATAATCTAGCCCAACTGCTTTTGACCTTTATTGATTCACAAACCTCTAAATATTTTCCAGTGAGATTACAAACTCTCTGCACTCTGAATTTAAGCTAATTCGTAATAGCCTTGCTTTCCTTTGTTGTTTTTGAGGGATTTCTTGGAAATGGTCCCTTGCAGCGGTTGCAGGGGTTGAAAACCGTTTGTAATTTATGGCCAAACTCGCAGCTAGAGTAAGTTGGCATAATTCCACCGATTTCAAAGGAAAAATCCCTTGATAGTATCGGTTAGAATAATGCCTAGTTTATTGAACATTAGCTGGGGAACTTCCCCTGGTTTTAGTCCTTCTCTGTAGCTTTCACTGTGAATAAGACTGAGCTCCATTTCAACGTAATTATATCTCCTTTGGGAAATTTTGCTTCCTTACTACCCAGATCAGAACACATTGAAAAGCCCAAGAGGAATCTTAACAAATTTCACATGGGAAAACTTACCAGTAAATTCTTCAAGTTTTATTTTATGCTTGATCTCAGGTATATCTTAGATGTTAATTTTTTCAGATGAATTCAGTCAGCTAGTACTCTTTATCTCAGCAGTGGTGCAGCATCATGTATGTACAACTCCTATATGGGCTAGACAGTTTTAGTATGATTTTTAGTTAGATTTTGAAATCAAGTCATTCTACAGTTAGGGTGTTGGACATGTTATCGTTGCCTCTGAACAGTGTTGCACTGATCTGCACCAGATGATTGTGTGCCCAATTAAATTAAGATGCTCGAGGTTCCCCATAAATGCCAAAGATGCAATATTGCTGCTGCTTCTGAAAGTGCAGAGCTCAAATAGGAAGGTGGATATTAAGAAAAGTAATAATTAGATCTGAAATGTTAATAATTGGATACCTTTTCTGAAAATAGTTACAAGTATTTACCTTTTAAAAAACAAGAAAATCTCCAAAAAATTAGAGAAGAATGGAGAACTGTCTTTTATGCTGTTACTGCCCAGCTCACTCTGCAGCTCCATCACACCACAACGAATAACTAAAGAAAACCATTATTATGCAAACCACTCTAGCACAAAAGGGTATTACATATCTGGTACAAAAGGGGATTTCTTTAAAAAGCACAGCACATTCAGTGTTTAGGGTTTGCCGTTGAAATTCATGGCCTTGCTTGCCAGTATTATCATGCAGCTGGGTACTATGCTGCTGCTTTACTCTGAGGGGAAAAAGATCACAATAAAGATATTAAAACGGGTTCAATTTAAACTGTTGTATTCCATTATGTTGCAACACCAGTTTTTAATGATTTTGGTCACCTTTTCTCTAGCACAAAGGTCAAAATAAACACTAGCCACACAGACTTCCACTGCACACAGAAGTGGTTGAAAGGCACGTCTTTTGATTTAAAAATTACCAGTGGGAAACAGTGGTAGGCATCATTTCAGTGCTGAAAACTAAGATGTTTGATAGGATTGACAAAATGCTTTTTCTTTTGTTTAGCAGTCATAAAACAGAAGTCCATCTTTCTGTGGAAAAAGTTTCTGACAATCTGTTATATTGATGCCATAAGTAAAATAAGTATTTAGTATTTAAATTATTTTTTTAATCTTTCCAGAAATTCTCTCCTATTTGAATAAAAGCAAAATCAGTTCACACAAAATATTCTTGGTAAGCAAAAGATTAAATGTAGTCTCTTAGAATGCATCATCTCTATGACATGAGTATTCAAACATGAATTTGGATGAGTACGTAACATGCCTTTACAGGGTTAGGTGCCTCCTGCTTCTTCTGTGTGCAGCCTTCATTTTGTGATTAGTTTAAAACACCTTAAAAAGCATCAGTGCCTTTTCAGGTATTCTTTTTTAAGAATCACTATTGAGCCACACAGTACAAGTGAAACCATTTCAGAGGAACAGGTTAAACTTTTGTCATTTGCTTACATCATCTGTCTCTCTCTGGCTGTCAGATACACGACTCTCTGGGCATCTTCAGCCAGTTTGCAAGTCCTTATTTCTGATTTTGTGTTCTCTCTGTCCCGGAGGGCCACCAGAGGGCTGAGTGATAGGCACTCTGTGCTGAAAAACAAAGGAATGGCACAAAATGAACATCATTGTTGGGGGGAAGAAAAAAAAAAGCTGTGGAATTGTTCCTTGGAATTGTTTCTTGGCATGGAAGAAGAAGAGAAGGCAGGCTCAGACACTGAACACACTGTGCCATACAAACATTAAATGCAGACTAGCTCTGGATGTACACTGAAGTTAGCAATAGGAAAAACAGGTTCAGCAAGCTACATAACAATGAAAGTATAATTTGAACCAATGTTCATTTCCTTTACATCAAACTGAAAGAACAAGAGATGTTACAAAATACTGTCCCAATCTTGCTTGCTAAATATAGCTGTTATTTGTCCTGGTTGTTCATTTGATTACAAAAGAATGAATTCCTACTTTATTATTCCAAGTTGTTAGTAACTGTCAGGCATCAGCTATGTTAGGAAAAGTGGTAGTGGAAAAAAAAACACTGATGTCAAAATACCCAGAGGTCTGGAGCACCTCTCTTATGAAGAAAGCTATGAATAAAAACTGAAGTGACTGGGCTTGTTCAGCTTGGAGAAAAGAAGGCTCTGGGGAGACCTCATTGCAGCCTTCCAGTACTTGAGGGGAGCTTATAAACAGGATGGAGGGCGAGTTTCTACACGATCTGATAGCAACCGGAAGAGGAGAAATGGTTTTAAACTAAAAAGGAGAGATTTAGACTGAATCTTAGGAGAATTTTTTTTTTTTTACTCAGCAGCTGGTGAGGCACTGGCACAGCCACCAAAGATTGTGGCTGCCCCATACCTGGAGATGCCCAAGGCCAGGCTGGGAGGGGACCTTGGCAGTCTGAGCTGGGGGTGGCAACCAGCCCATGGCAGGGGGGTTGGAACTGGATGATCATTAAGATCCCTTCCAACTCAAGCCAATCCATGATTCTATGATCAGGGTTGAGACAGATATTAGCATTTTTGTACAACTTTGTTTCTTATTTTTATCCGTATCAACAATTAAAATTTACTGCATGTGATACAGCATTCCGCTTGTCTTTCTTCTAATCTTTTCATTCTGTGCAAATTATTTAAAAATGTTTCAAGCTTGTGTGTTAAACATAGATAAAAAAAATCGATATGCACCTTTTCTGGTCATCAGTGTGAATGGTACTTAGGCCCTTTATGCCTCCGCAGCCTGATTAATAAAAAGCCCTGCTTTCAGAAACTTAAGGTAGAAATGCTATGTGATCAGTAGTACAGTTCTGTAGGTAAAGTAATATTTCCAGCAACAGGATAGCATGGCATAGCTCTTTTAGAAGAGGCAGGTCTTAGTATCTTCATTTTAGAGATGGAAAGAATTATTCACAGAAGCTTAAAGTTGTTCAAGGTATAAAGCAGATACTTGCTCTTCCAAATCTCTTCTACCACCATATGCAAAGTTTGCACAGTTCCAATGATCGTGATGACTGACCAGTGCATATAGTGTGAACTTGTGAACTTGTGACACTGGCAGTGCTGTGCAGAGCCTCCTACTAGAGTAGCTGGATAGTGCTAATGAGCATTCCTTTGTTAATGAATGATGCATTACTCATGCTTCCATTTAAGTATGACACTTTTTTTCTACTCAGGAGCTTTTTATTTTTTTAATTAAATAAATTCTCAATGTTTCTGGCATAACCAGGAAAACAATACAAAATGAAGAAAACACACTAGGCAAGACATACTAATTACTGTCTGTGATTAATTAGTAATTATAAGCCCACTCACAGAGTCTCTAAAGTTAGTGAGTAATTTGTTTGCATGAATTCAATAAAAGAAGGCAAATTTCAAAATACTTTCATTGGTATTATTTTAATTGACAGATGAGCTGGTTGGTTGCCATTGCTTCCAAAACTTAAACTAAGAAAGGACATAGCAGTATCCTGTTCGTTAGGCTGATGAGGAATCAGAAGCCTAACAAACAACCTGTAGCAAAATAATTAGTCCTCATAGTCTACATTTTGCTCAGGCTCTCAATGAGACTCTGATTTACCAGACTGTAGCAGGGAAGCATTTAGCAATGATTTCAAGCGTTCTTCAGTTCTAATGCCAGGAAGCGTGTCAGACCCTAATGGCAGGTTTGACCACTGGCAAAACCCTGAAGTGAGGGCTTCTTAAGGAATTAGTCACAAAGTCTTGATGTCATAAGAGCCCTGGATATCCCTGGTAGAATTTAAGTGTGCTCCTTTGCTACACTTGAAGACTTGCACTTCTGTCTTCTGTCTCATGTAGCCTTATTGTGAAGCCATGTGCTGTTACTGCTTCCTTTTAAGCTGGATTAGAGTGATTTTTTTTTGTTTGTTTGTATGTGTGTGTGTATGTGTGTCTTAAAACAGTCTTAAAAATATTTCCTCAGATTGCCTAGCCTGTGTTGTTAAATTTTCTTGCTTATTTTCTGTTTGTCATTGCAAAGCCTGCTGAAACATGACAGTTCTTATAGAATTTTTAATTACTCTTCCATGGAATAAAATTGTTGTAAGCTTAAAACCAGGACACGAGTGAGTTACGTAGTTCTTCCTTCAGTTAACCCATCATATGGCTTCAGAGCAAGGTTTTAAAATAGCACTATCTAAAAAAATAATGTTATGAATCACTACTTCTTACAAGATCTTTTGAAGTTCTCCCATTTCCTGTTTGTAAATCCTTAGTCTTTGCATTAAAATGTTCTCAGACAGGAAAACAATAACAATTGATTTACATGGACAAAAGCAGCCTTTCTGAGTTTTCAATCCAGCTTCCTCTGAGATCCCATTGACCTCCAAAGTTCAACTTCTTCCAAGAAAGTTTTCTTTGGGATTAATGGCCTTCAGAGTCAAATCATTGTTGAGTGCTATAGCCATTACCAGTGCTATAACTAAGGCTGTATCAGCATTTCCACATAAACTCTTATTTTCAGAGATTTATAGCTTGCCTACAAAAATATAGTTTTCTGCTGAAACTTGGAAGAAAAAGAAAAGCTCAAAGCTCAGTCTGGGAGTAATTTTACTTCTTATTTTGGGAAATCTGCACAGCTCTGTGGGTATTTTTAGACTGAAATTCTGAACGAGATCATGTCTTGCTGCATCCACTTGGTGCCTTGGAGAATTCCCCGCCTGACTTTCTAAGATCTACTTCTGACAAATTATGGAACAGCAATGAGAAAAGTTTAAGAATGTTTTTTTTCCCAATGCTAAAGATTCCCAAACTGGATCTAGTCATTATTCTCTAGAAGACATTTCAAACACTTGAAAATTCTAAGATGTGTTTGAAGATTGCAACCAAACAAACGTGAGCTGAACAAAGTGTTCTGCAATAAATGGAGAGTTCTGAATGTTTCTGTTGCATCCTCATGCAGCATAATTGAGCATCATGCTGATACTTCTGCAGTTATAACCTCTGATAGACTGGAAAATGAGAACCCTGATGGTTACACAGAAGAGGCCCAAGAAAAGCTAAGGTGAAATGAGGAGTTTGGGGATACTGTGGCCTCCTGTTTCTGCAGAACCCATGACAGGGCCCTCATACACCAAAGAGGACTGCATGGGAAGGTGGAGGAGGCAGCACCTTTCTCAAACATGATGAAAGTAAATCTAATAAAAATTAGAGCTTTATAGATCAAGACAAGAAGTACTTACTCTGCTCTGCACACACCATTTCAGAAGAGATTTGGAGGCACCATCTGGAGGGAAGGATGACAGATGCCGTGGAGTTCCCAGTTTCCTTTGCAGGTAATTCCTGCAAAAGGTCGACTTGGTCCTGAGTCATTGCCACTGGGGATGAAAATATGAAGTGGTACAACACACAAACATGTTCAAGGCTACAGATTTAATTGCTTCAAAGAAAGATGTACTCAGCTAAGATGATGACCCAGTGCAATACAGTGGTTCCCATGACTCATTCATTCCAAAATAGAAATCTGAGGAAACCAGAGACAATACCCTGCGTCCCCAAATCCCCCCAAAACTGGTCACCAAAACTAAAAATGCCTATCCAATCTTTCCTCACAAATATGGGATATTTTTAATGTTTGTGCCCAGCCACAGGATCACTATTTCACTTAGCTGAAACAAACCATAAATTTTCTTGTCAATCACATGCCACATGAAGTAAAAGGCCAAGTCACCCCCAGAGCATCTTCTCATTTCAGAAATGTCAGTGACTACCTCAATTGCTCCTATAATCCAGACAGATCACCCTTACATTCATTCTGTTCTGTTTTCTAGCAGAAATATTTGCCCCCCCCCCAAAACAGCAAGGCAGCGTCTTTGAAAACAAGGCAGTAGTAACCATACAGAAACAACAGTGCTGCATCTCAGTAGGAAATATTAGCCTTCTTATTCTTGGGAATGATCTATTCAAATTTGATCCAGAAATGTTTCTTTTTTGAGGGGGAGCTGCTCATTATGACTAGATAAATGCAGTCCAAACTCTGAAACTTCTTTTGAAGGCATGATGGCAGGGAAACCTCACAGATGGGATTAGAAGGAAGATAATGAGGTAGCTTCGCAGATGTCTAAAGGAGCCCTTCCCACATGTAAGGCATGGCATAGGATAAAGCTTGAAATGGAATGACTGAAAGTCTAAGAAGTGGATGGAGGAGACTGGCATCATGGGCTAATCAGTGAAAGAAGTGGTTTCTTGATCCTGAATGAGAGATGATCGGTAGGATGAGGGGAAGCTACGAATGGCTTTGAAAGTGAAGACAAGCTGCTTATATCAGATAGAAAAAGAGTTTTATATTTGACAGTCAAAGCGATGGGCTAGGAAAATGATCTCTGCAGTGCTATGCAGTGCAGATTCATCCCTGAAAAATTGCATTTGTCAAAACCAGAGGAATGGATATTGCAGCAGTCAACTTAGCTTTATGATATTTTACATATGTATTAGTTCTTGCATAATAATGATCATATAGTAAATTTTATAGCTTACAATTAGCGCAATTGTTTTTAATGATTTTTGGAAACTAGTGACATTGTAAAGTGGGCATTTTGTTGGATATTTCTCATAAGATTTTTTTGCAACATTCTTGTAAAAATTCCAGTTTTCTAAAAGAAGAAAATGATATACTTAACATCCTTTTTATATGCATCTCTTTTCTTTGTTTTGGCTAAAGCCTTTCACTTAAACTCAATACCTGAGGGCATTCAATGCTCATATCCATAGCACATTACGCAGTGACTTAGCTGGTGGTCTTGGTTTATTCCTCTCTGGGCTCTGCTGGCAGGAAAGAGGTTGTCCATTACAATTTGGAGATCACTCTGGAAAATCCGTATGCTGGATAACACATACATCAGGTCACTAGCATGCCACCTCCCAGACATGCAGATATAACAGCAATTCTACACTTTACTTGGAATGGTGGTAGCATATAGTGGTTCTGGCTGTAATACACAAGAAATTCATTTTATTCCCTATTGTATCATAGCTTTCATTTCCCTCATGCAGAGACTGACTGCTGCATACACATTCTTCCAGGGCTTTTCCTATTAATAGACAACCTGGCTTCACACGCTGAAATGAAGGAACAAGGTTTTGAGTGCCTGCCTAATTTAAGCAGACCATATGTCATATGCTATAGTATCCAGTCAGAGGAGAATAAAATAAAGCAAGATTGAGAGGTAAAATAGCTTCCTACCATTAGCTGAACTCTCAGACTCAAAATTCCAAGGACCTTTTTTTAAGCATGCTCAGAACTAGTTGCTTGTTCTACACATCACATGAAGTTACTCATATTTCTAATGCGTTCTTAATGGGTGTGCTGTCTCAGGAGTAGAATTTCTGAGCATTACTACAATACAAATAATAATCCTGACTTTTTTTTTTTTTTTTTTTTTTTTTTTTTTTCTTCTCTGGAATGATCTTCAAGCTTTTAAAGTGTGTTTTAAACAGCTTCACAATTTTCTGCTTTGGCTTTCCAACTTGTAAAAACTGGAGTACAGTTGTTTACTATTTATTCAGTATGCCGTGACTGTAGAACGAAGCCTACAAAGGCTATTGCAAACCTTCCTTGGCACTAGTGGATGAATGTTGCTTTTTAAAGCACATTATATTAATTATTATTGCTTAACCAGTCCATCTCTGCTGCACAGTTGAAAGAAATGTGCTCTTTCAGACGCCTTGGCTGGTTATATAATCAGCATTCCTCACAAATGTTTGACTCATTAGGACTAGCAATCACATTTTCCTGGCAAGTTGTCTAGGGCTGTCTGCAAGCAGTCAGAGAACTAGAAAATGTAATAATCTGATTTTCCATTTACTTCCTCCCCCTTATCTCAGACACTTCTACTGCAGCTTTTACCCCTTTGCCTTGTCTTTAGGTGTCTCTTGATGAGCAGCATTGCCAGAGCATTTTTTTCATGTCACAGAACGGATAAGAGCATGGTCAGCTGACAGGCATGCATGCTTCCACATTCTCAGGTTTTTAGGAAGTGCTATTCTGTACTTTCAGTAAAAGTCCAACTTCCATTACATTTACAATCCAAACTGGCATTGTCAGAGGCTTACACTGGTATGAAAAACAGAAAAGAAAGAAATTGCATTGCAGCTTAAGACTTCATTGTTTTCTTATCTTCTGCTTGCAACCAATGAGAAGAATAAAAGATATGCTGTCTCAAATGGGAGGGAAAAGACTAACAGAGAGAAAAAATTACTGGAAACGAGGAGTAATTTTCTGTGCATATTTTAACCAGCGATCATCTGGTTGCTTTATGAATCTGCAATACTACGTAGCGCCTGCAGTTTAGATACTCAAAAATCATAAATGATTACAGTTTAACAAATAAAAGCCACATTTGGGAAAAAACAGCTTAATGGTCATTTATTCACTTTTGCAAATACTATACTTCTTCCTCACCTTTCTCTTCTACTTAATCCAGTTAGTAGCCTACACTCAAAGGTGATGACTAAAGTTAAGATAAAACAGCAGTTATGAAAATAGGGAAGAAGGCTGATTTCAATCAACAGTAAAAGTTATGCAATACAAAGCTCTATGATGTGGCACACTCTGCTAGAAAAAACAATCCATGCTGCTGTCCTATGAAGCCTTCTGTGATATATGCCTGTGAGATGTGACCATGAGGACCAAATTCATATCTTTGTGGTATCTAAGAGGAAAAAAAAGTCTGAAACATCATCTCTGATTGTATATTAGAAAGGTCAGTCATCCTGCCACATTTCATGGTAACGCCTCACCCTACTGTAATTATCTGTGAATTTCTGACAACTGGCAACCAACAAAAAGGTAGACTTGTCTTATATTTCAAGGAGAGTTCTGAGCCAGAAGTCTGACTCTGTGCAGCTGTAATAGACAGCTGCATGTCTGTAAGAATTCATCTGCATCTGCGCAACGTAATCTGTGTATTTGAGCCACAATGTCCTCCAGTTTTGCAAAATGAAACTAGGTATTTTGGTATTTCAGATTTAAAGTGTTGAGAAAAAGACTTTGTAACAAATGTTTTCTCTTAGAGTAGTGGAGGTGTAATTTAAGAAATCATTTTGGCACATGTCATAGACAACATCTTAGAAGCTTCCTCAGGAGCCTAGCACTGGAGTTGCACTGCTCCATTTGCTTCATCTTGCTCAATGCAAAAGAGAAACTGAAAAGTCAGGCTTTCTCTGACCGCGTGTTCCCTTTGAAGAAGGAGTTGTAATTGTTGGCAAGGGAAGGAAGGAGCTAGGACAAAACAAGGGAAGGAAGAAGTTGTTATTATTTTTTTTTTCCACCAGCCAGCTCCTTAATTTTGCTGCCAAGATTATAACTCTAATTTACAAGACAAACATAAATCTATTTATATATTATTTAACTTGAATTACAGAAAATGACATGGTGTTTGGGTAGCAATCTTTGGATATTCAGAGAAGGGAAAATGAGGGAAATACGCAAATGAGACAAGGGTCATTCTGATGCTAATGAAAAACGTTCCTAGTAAAAAAGAAAGTTTCTGTTCATGCTTAAGGTATTTTTAACTCATTGCATAATTTTTTTCTTTTTAAATGTCTCTTATTATGGAGATAAGGTAGAAATGTATAAGTACTTAGATGTAGCAATCTCTAAGCATTTAAGCAAACAATGACTCCTTGAGAAGGATCAATGAAGGAAGCCTCCCTGTAGTCTTCCTTGAATAATTTATATGTATTTTGGGATAATCAGGACCAAAATACATCAACATAAAAGAATTATCCTGATGAATTTATTAATTGCAATAATTATTTAATATAACATGTTAAGATTCACGATGATAGTATAAAAGTTGATGTCATGAACTAAGTTGTGAGGATCTTCTCTGCAGAATTTGCATATATCAAAATTATTTGGTAGAGCCTATCTGAAATATATGCAAAGTCTGTGTTTTTAAGTGGGAACAACCCATTACATCACATTTTGCAATGTAGCACCCCCTTACAAAACTTTTCCACTTAACTATAACTCGCTTAAAAATGACCAATCTATTCAGCCTTCCCAGAAAAAAATGAAAGAAAAAAAGTATTTGCAAATACTAAAAAAGATAGAATTACTTTGTTGTTGTTGTTATCACACTGTAACTACATGTCTGACCACAAAGAGAAGCAAGAATTTAGACTTTTGCATGAACAGCCTCTGGAGATACCAAGAATCACTTTTAAACTGAAAGATGGAAAAAATCCGTTTCTGCAAAATATATTTTTTATAAAGCAAGACTCCAACAAGACAAACTTTATGATAGTTACACAATGTGGGAATATAGTTAAAGAAATCTGTAGCAAATCTATCTGAAAGATAGGTCAAAAGTAATGAGGCTCTTCGACTCCGTTTCCACTGACAAAATATCTTACATTTATTGGAGGACTAATGCCTTCCATACATTACATTAAAATTTGACCTTCCTTTCTTTTTACTACATTCTTATGTCACTTCTAAAACAAATCTTTCTCTGCCATTAGGGAACATAGATGGAATAATGGGCCCGTGCCTAGAAACATAACATAAAAAAATTGTGAAAATAAAAGGAAATGAGGCAGTTTTTCAAAGGAATTAAAAATTAAGTAGCCAGACTTCGTCTTTAAAAAAGCTGGAATTTTGTTAGATTAAATCCCACAGTATTATATATTCATCCAGATTTTTGAGCAATCTGTAGATCCAATACTTAAGCTAAAAGATTATTTATCATTACAAATATAGTTCAAAGCCATGTATGAGTATCATAATAAATGTTAGGGAGCCTCATAACCAAAATGCAATTGGAAAAAAACCCCCATATATTATTCAATCATAGTTATTTAAATTAAAACTATTAATTGGAGCCCCAAATTCAATTGCCAAATACCCTTAGCTATGACTTTTTTGAATGGAGACTGCACTTGTGCTGCTCTTCTCAGAAAATCCCCCTTAATCAGGACTAAAGAAACAGCTGCAAACATTCAACAGCTACAAATATCCAACAGGATTCAGTTTGGTGAAGTTTCCTGATGTTTCATTTTATATCTTCAGTTTTACCAAGTTTCCTAGTGAGAATCAGTTTTGTTTTTAAAATCTGGAAATGATTCTGATCAAGATGTCAGACACTGGCATCATACTTAGTTTGAGCTTCTCTCTTCATAATGGATGTTGAAAGACAATGGATGTTTAGTGTGAGAATAAGCACTAACACGTCTGGGTTGTTTCTTTCCAGATCCAAGCAAACTCACAAAGCAGAAAGGGAGAAATGACAGTATCCATTTGGTTTTTGGTCCATCTGGAAATAGGTCACCTAACTGTGGTTTTTGATCTGGGATTTAATTGTGGAGTATTTCCTTTTTTTTCTGGGAAAGAAACAGCCTTCCCTTACCTTAATAAGTAAAGAATCTAACTGAATAATTTAGTTTCTCAAAATATTCAAGGGATCCAAATTCATAATGAAAATACTCAATGCTTTCACTGACTCTTTTTGGGAAGTATCTTATGTAAAGCCAGGATCTGGCATGCCTTAGAAACTATACAGCCAAAAAAAAGTAGTAAAGGCAAGGATCTCTGAGAAACTTGCTGCTGCTGCTTAGCTGGTGGGACTTGGAATCGCAAGGGGTGTCATAAAAGCCGGATAGTCTCGGGGAAGGCAAAAATAGGTCTCATTTTGACACTTTCCTCCAAAACTAGCTTCTTCTTTGTTACTATTTACTATCCATTACATGCAACGTTTTCAGACAACAGTCTTTCTAGCTTCTCTTTAATACCAGAAAAAAATGGTCTGCCATTAGAAATGGCATTCTCCCTCTTTCACAGATTTATTGATGCTCATGCAAAAAAAGTTGCAGGTCTATGCTATTTCCTCAGTTATTGTCAAATGGAAAACCTTTGCGCAGTGCAGTCTGAGAATGGAAAGCTTCTGGAGCTAATGTTCAAGTTTTTAATGGCCCTGTCAGAGTTCTATTCAAATGGACAGGTGAAACCTTAGCCCCCACTTAACCCAGTAAGAACCAGAACTCATAATGCTGGCTGCTTGTCATTCTATCCATCATCCGAATTTGCATTTCACTACATTTCACTATTTCTGAAAGTAATTTACTACTTTATTATGTTGACCCACAATGTCAGAGATGTATGTTGGTGGTATGGCAGTAGAGGAGGAACCTTCCTGCCAATATTCCATTACATATTGTTGCTGTGTGACAGATGGCAGCAGAGGGGCAGTCTGACAAAATGGTGTCTGATATGGAAGTGCATATGAAGCAAAAGTGTGTCACTGAATTCCTCCAAGGGGAAAAAATGGCATCCACTGACATTCACTGACACTTGCTGAACATTTATGAAGACCAAATAGAGGATGTGAGCACAGTGAGGCAATGAATGGTGCACTACAGCAGCGGTGACAGCAACCATGGGTCACCTGTGCTGATGCAGATTGTTGTAAGGTGGCATGCAGGTTCCTGCTCATCGCTGGTGAAAATGCACAGGTAATGGTTATGCTTATGTTGAAAAACAGCATTCGGTAGCTGAGAATTTGCGCTCTCAAACAGTGTTATTGTGCTCAATGTACCAGCTGTATTCCCATGGAAATAAATAGGAGGCATAACTTTCAGAGTGACCCACTTACCTTGTATGTGGAAGTATTTGAATGCTGAAATCATATATTGTGAAAGCTGAATTAAAACCTTCACTTCTAGTTGTGTGAAACGTCATAGGGATCCTTTCTCTGCCATACACAGATCTACTGGGAGACAGTTTAAACACTGGGGGAAAAGGGGAAAAAAGCTCACAATGTGGAAATCATTGACAAGTGCTTTTTATCCAGTAATAAGAGGAAAACTCAGAATGTAAGCTTCCCAAGACTACCCAGAAATACTTTGAAGTGCTTGTTGCTTAGTGAATACATGTTCAGGCTCTGTCTGGAGAAACAATTCTCATTTTAAAAAAAGGGAAGGAAAAGGAGCATGCAGACTGCAGTAGAATAGAAAACACGGCTTCCACAGCCTGCTCTTAATTTAGGAATGCAAGAGCAGCATTTTAAGGGCATTTCCTGAAGAGAATAAATATTTACACACACCCCCAAAAGTAGGAATGTAAAATATTTTGAAAAATAGTTATTAGTCTAATTTATACTTTTTTATTTTATTTTATTTTATTTTATTTGGAAGCTTTAAGGCAAATTCAGTGCTGTGACGTGTTTGCTCCAAGCCCTCCTCATCTCTGACAATACACCATAGCATTAAAACAGCACTGCTGTGCTTTCTGTAGGGGGCAGTCTGATCAAAGCTTTTGCTTTCCAGTAAGAAAAACACTGGAAAAGACTCTTTTGCCAAACCAACGTGTAGAACATTAATGTTCGATGTCCAAAATGCTTTCAGTGCTGGTTAACTATAATTATTTTAAAATTTTTCTAGTGGAGTATTCAGAATGAGTCATGTAGAAATGAATATTTATGTTCCTTTTGACCTCAAACATTCATGGCCTTGCACAAGGTCACGTAAGGAGACTGTGGAAAGCTTCCACATAACTAACTTGATAATTTCTCTCCTTAGTTCAGCAAGCTGTGTGTGTGATATACACCACATGGTTTTTGGTGCACTCAGAATCACATTAAGTTCTCTTAAAATTCATTTTATAACTATTTAATTGTGAAAGATGATAACAAATTATACAAGGAATACTGGAGCAGGGAGATGAATTGTAAGGGACAGCATTTTTCTGCTGCTGGGGTTATTTTTAAATCTGGCACTGATTCCGTCACCATTACACATGCTGTTTCTCCCAAAAAGATATCTCAAACGCAGCATAAATTTCCAAGCCCAAAGACTAAGAGGTTTCAGAAAAATAAAATGCAAAAGCAGCTGCTTTGCTTCTTGAAATCTTTCTTGGATCTCCTAAAATTATTTTTCTAGAGTGACTGTGCTTCTATGTTTTCCAGACAGTTTTCAAAATATTTCTCACGCAGATATAAATGCACAAATTAAAGAGTACAGTTCAGATCAGGAGGACTGATGAGTCAGTTATATACACAGCAACATAATGAACTGAATGACAGGAAAAGAAAGAAAAGGCAGATTTAGGATTCCTTAAGCTTGAGTAAGAGGAACACAGATCAAACTGAATATTATGTTTCATACAAGGAGTTATTTTGCCACTTTAAAATGCGGCAAGGGAGGCAGAACTTAGAGTGATGAAATTCCAGTGCCCAAGAACTCCAAACATCTCTGGAATTGTGTGCAGCGCTTAGCAGGAAAATGGAAACATTCAGGGCCCAGAACTTGCAAGCATTACAATATTTTTCAAAGGGCAGCCTGAAACAAAGCTGTCCTGCTGCAGAATGAATCTTCAGAACTACATGACTTTGCCTAGAGTTGGAATAACAAACACCGCTGGAAAGAATATTTTTGGTACAACAAAACAGCGTGGAAAATATAAAGAAAATTATATTGGTCAGAAAAAAACAGGTGGGGGTTAAAAAGGATGGAGAATAAATTCAGTTGTATTAGCGTGGAGGACAAACACAAATGTCTTTTTTCATTACGAATTTTCACTTGCTTTGATTACTTGAGGCCAAAGCAATAAACTAGTTTGTTCCTTTTAACTTTTAAATCAGCTTTTAACAGCCAGTAGTACTGAGTTAAACAGGAGCTATTGCTAAAGTGGTGCATTCAGCACAGAACATAGCCTACTGCTGGAATAAGCAATTAGGTCATAACTTTCTCCATTATTCAAAATAAAAAAGAGAAGACCTTTGGAGAATATCCTGTTGGAATAACCTCAATATATAATTATACATATTTTAGCTTGTTTGTTTACTTGTCTTTTTCTTATTTTAAATATATATATAAGGATTGGAGTGAAATGATTAGAAAAGGTGAGTTTGGGCAGTCTTCACTTAGCAGCCCCAAGGGATAACTCCACTCAGTGGCCAGCTGAGATTGAGTGCAATTTCCTCATCACTCTCTCAAGAGTGGCAGGCACAGATCAGGGTGGGGGACTACATCATTGCTCTCACCTTCATGCTCTGGGTAGGAAGCCTTCCCTTTCTCTTCCTAGAACATATCCTGGAAACTTTTATTTCCTGAACTGCTCTTGCCTCCCCCAAGAAAAGATGCAGGCTCACTGGAAGCATCTCAAATGCTGAGTTTGAGATGTGGGCTACCAGCTGGCCCTGACTAAGTTTGTTATATGGGAGAGAGTTTCATTTTCTTGATATAAGTCCCTCTGCAGATGTGAAAAGGATTGGGAGGGAGGGGGGGTAGGGTGGAGGGAAGGGATGGGAAATGAAGGACCAAATCCTCTTTCAGCAGAAGAATACAGCTAAACTTCCACTCAGACACAGAAAAATGAGTTCTAAATGGCTTCTTTTAAGCAAAGCATTTTTATGGCTACAAATAATAACAAATTGCAAATATTTAAGATCATATAAGACACTTCATTTCTATTTAAAGCATTTCTGTTTTCTTGTAGTTTCATAAGGCCTGTGGCTATCCACTACATAATTACACTGTAACTCTCATTTGTATTAGTTATACCTATATCCTACTAAAGGTTTATTAACTTATATCAGCAAAACAACTACAGAATATTGTGCGCTTAATTTACAAGTGAGATGGTTCTCCAAGATCATAAAAACTATTAGCTATAATGGCTACAGTAACTACACGAGCAAGACAAACTTGAGGCTTCATCTGGCATCAACTTGTCTAGGAAAAATGTTGTCTGCTGCTTACCTCCCAGAATTTTTTTTTTCTCTCTCGACTTCCTCCTCCCTTCAGCATCAACAAATCCCACATCTCTACAAATCCAGAAGATGAAATGCTTGTGCTGCTGTAGGCTGCTCCTTTGGATGGCAATTCTCTGGGACAGTCAGGTAGGCATTCCTGAGTTTCCCTTTTTAGAATTCCTTTAAGAAGAGTCCTGTAGACATAAGCACCTTTAGAAAAGCTTTTATATGTATTTATTTAGGAAAATATACTAATCTTCTAAAATTGGATCATTTTACTGAAATGCTTGCTAGGGATTTATCAGATCCATCTTCCAGGAAAATTGTCAGCTCTCAAAAACAGCACTTAGTCACTCTTTCACAGCATGACTCCCATCCTTAATCATCGCGAGTAAAGCTAGGAGTTGCCTGTTTGATCCTGCTAAGGTATTAAAGCATGTTACATCAGCTGAACGATATCTTAGTGGAGAAATACCACAAAATAGAAAACTAAGGTAAATGTTTTAATATCCTGAAATAAAGCTTCTAAATCAAAAAGAACAACTTGAAATCCAGATCAGTAGTACAGTAATTGCTTATCCATTCTTACCTATTTTCAACATGGAAGAAACAATGCTCAGCATAAAATGCTGAAGACCTAACTGAAAAATGAAAGAGTAACATTGTTTTTGTCAGAGGCTAAGGAATATGACTTTGTCAATTAATACTCTTATCTTCCACAGCCTAATTGGGAGTCTGCATGAATACTTAATGGCAGAGGATAGATAGCAGAGAAGGGCAAGTCAAGATCTGTCATGCTGGGATCACTGGCTGTCAGACAGGCAAGGCAGAGGCTCAACCACCACCCCTCCCCATGCACGCCGGCTGTGTCTGCCACGATGGGGGAACATGTTGGTGCCCTAAGGCTAAATTCTATCCGGCTGCTGGAAACATGGATGGGTAGCTTGTGCTTTGTCTAAGACATTTTCATGTCATTAGTGTTAATGAGGCAGTACCCAGCACACCATGCACACCTTCACTCAGCCCTGCCCTTTGTGCCTCCTTGGAACATGTTGTTTCAGGCTCCTGACCCCTCAGTGTTCTCTGATGCTCAGTCTCCCCATCCTTAACCCTGGACAGACCCAGCTCTTCAGCATGTTTCTCACACAAGCAGTTGGCCTACTAAGAGGCTAATGCAAAATGCTAACATTTTTGTTTCAGGAACAAACAAAATGCACACAGAAAAAAAAAAAGAAAGGGCAGATTCTGGCTGAGCACTACGGTTGACCAGAGATGTGGCATCTAATCAAAGCGTTTCTGGAGCGAGAAAGAAAGGTAAAACTGGTACAAGTACCTGCAAGCAGTTTGGGAAGATGCTGTCAAAGAACTGTGTAGTTTGCAGTGTGAACATTGTCTCATAAATGTCTTCGTGGGGCTTTCAACAATGATATAAACCTACTGCATCAAACTGAGATAATGACAAAATAATCATACTTCCTGCTATAGAAAAAAACCTCAGGTCTTTGGAGGGCAGTAAAGGATTGTTTGGTGCTTGGATGTTGGATAACAACACTAGGCTTTTTCTGTTTTTGTTATTAAAGGCGTGTTTAATCTCTAACTTACATGAGGTTTGGTGTTTGTGGGCCTATAATTAAATTAGAAGGAAAAGAATAATGGGAGTGTTGTAAAATTATTTCAATGAACTTTTTATTGTAGTATTTAAAATATGTACTTCAAGTTCTGTCTTTTATCCAGAATTGGACATTCACAATAATTACATTATTTAGGCATATTCTTGTTTTTAAGAAATATATGATACTTGTTTAAAGGGACTTTAGGATTGATTAACTGAAGTTAATTTTATTAAATGGAGCTGTAATTTGCTGCGTGTATTGCTGAAGGATGTGATTGCAAAGATGATAGTTAAGTAACTGGAAGTTGATTACACGTGGAAGTCCATGGAGACTGCATCCTGTCATGAATCTGCAGTTTTTAAAGATCCCAGTGAAGTATTTTGAAGGCTGATAAAGCAGAAGCTGCAAAGATTTAAACAGATAAATCTTAATTAGTAAGTCAGATAAGATGAAAATTAGCCAAGGAGACTTAATGTGACCACGCCACATACCTCTCACTACCAGCTCTATTTTTAAATTTAAAGGTTTAAAATTTTTCTGTTTTTTATCTAGCAGCATCTTATGATAAAAGACAGATATTCTCTGAAAGGGAGACCAGAATATAACCGTTTTCTTCTCCTTCCTTTCCTCTCTGCAGGTGAATGCCTTAAACAGTCAACCCTAGAGTCACGTTCCTTCTTGCTTACTCCCATCTGTCTCAGTTTCCTTCCTGTAAGTCCCACTCAGTACTTAAGAAAAATAAAATCATAAGCACCAACATGAAGGACAGAGCCTCATAGCTTGGAAAGATGAAAGGTCAATACTGCCAGCTTTATCAGAGTCCAGAATTGTAAACATTTCCTCCAGAGGGTTAAAGGGACTTTGCTTGTTTTGTCTTGCACAGGTTTTCGTACATATGACGATACTTTTACCTCTTCGTGGGTGTTCAAAACCAGGACGGCAGGGAAAACAGCCCAAGTGCTATTTTTTGTCCCAGCATTTGCATTGCACTTCCAGCGTTTGCACTGGGCATGTTTAAACATGTCCAGGTTTTGTTTCTTTTTTTTTTTTAAAAAGGGGTTTCCCAGTTCATCTGGAGCAACAGCCTTCAGATGTTTCGTCAGTTACTGCCTGGGTGGGAAAACAGATCACTGCCTAAACTCTGAGCAGGCCTTTTCATGGCTGGGTTAGATAGGTCTCATTAGTGTAGTGGATCTGATTGATAAAAAAAGTATTTAATAGTTTTCTACCAGCTGTGCTGCTAGGGGCATGGAGATGATTCAGTTTGGAATACGTGAGCACAAGTTTCATAACAAAGCAACATCCAGCAATAAATTATCAGACTTACGGAAATTTAAAGATTAATGCTTTATAGTTGTTCTAGTATGTTTAGTAAAAATAGCTGAAATAATTTCAAATAATCTTATGCATTAATATTTGCTTCTGGAATTAAATATTACAACGGAATTAATATTAAATTGAATTTTATATGTTAATCAAGGCAAGTCTTTGTTCTACCTATTATGACTAAATGGCAAGAAAACTGTGGCTGGATGCTGTTTCATTTTAGAAGGTTACAGCACATACAAGGATCTGGTCACTGTCATTAAAAGGATTCTGAAAGTACCAGCACACTGCAATCAGGTGTGACTTTAATTGGTGGATGAACAGCTCGCTCGCCCGCTCCACAGGTGAGCACAAGTCATCTTCCATGAGCAAACTAAGAGCACAGTCACTGCTTGTGTCAAGCTGAAAGAATAACTCCAGTACCATTTGTTCATGGAGCAAAATCAAGCACTGCCAAGAGGTGCCAAAGATTGGACCCATGAGCTCGGTCTGCCGTTACTAGCAGTATGCTTGGATAGAAGATTACACACAATGAGGGCAATGGAAAGGAGATGTTACACCTCCCATTTCCCAGACAGAGGATGGAGAGGCTCTCAAAGATACTATCTGCTGCTACTTGCAGTGAGCGTAGCTGCTTAATGTAGCTAGACTAAATGCAGAATGGCACTGTGCCACATAAGTCCCCTAAATGACTTTCTCAGGCAGGGACAGAAAATGAATCCAGTCAAACAGTCGCCAAAGCCACAGCCTTAACCACAGTTCCCTTTCCACTGCCTGCTGCTCCCTCGGCCTCCATGGAGGCAGCTCACAGAGGGTGAGGGGAAAATGGCAGAACGGCTGCCCTACAGGATTCCTTCTTCTTTACTCACATTTGGGTCAGTGGAGTGCTCAAAATTCAGCTTTTATCAAATTTATCACCTTCAATCATTCTCTATTAGACCTAGTAGCATTCCTCTAAACTACTGAAAGTCATTTTATACTGATTCCTTTATATTGCACACTGTGAAATAACAGATATGATATGTAATTTGCAATTGAAGATATTTGGGTCACATCCCCAGAAGCTAATTAAAAAGTAACACATTCTGTGATTTCTTTTGAGTATGAAGAAGGACTGGTCCTGCCATCTTACTCACTAGAGGTTACACATACATTTCTGTACATACAGGAGTTACTTACGGAAATAACAGCAGCAGATTGGAGTGATAAGCATTGTAATTTCAGCAATACAGCATCACTGTCACTTTCTGAACTCTGGATGAAAAATACCAAAGAGCCTATTTGTGCCCTATTATGAAGTAATGAATATATACAATTTCACATCTCACAACTAGAATATCTGTCAGAAGATACACTTTGATTTTTTGTTAAGTGAAAAATTCACATTTTTTTTCCGTGCCTTTCAAGCATACAAAACGACAGGGTCCATATGCTGTTCTGAGAGAATCACACAAAAAGAAAATATTTGCGTCTTCAGGGAAGAGGAAGGAAAGGTTCCTCTTTATTGTTCCAGACTGATATCTTAGTTCATGTAAAAAATACCAGAGCTACAACTCTATCTCCTCCCTGTCCTCTCCTGATAGTTTGCATTTGCATGGGACAGGGAAAGAAACACAATTGTTTCTAATTTGTCTGCTGCTCAGATAAGCCTTGAAGTGGCTGGCAGTAGGCATTTGGAGTTTTTTTATCTGACTAAATGGCAGTAAAGGGAAATCAACAGCCACGGGACCAAAGTAGGCATTTGCTCTGGCTCTTTGCAGTCCATAGCTGCTGCAGTGTAATGGCAGCAAGCCTGTTTCTTTAGGCTGACCACCTCTTGGGCACCATTGCTGCAGCATCTTTTTGGAGACTGTTGGCAACCGAGGCATGTGAGAACAGCTGACATGGACACGGATACTGAAGCTGCTCTCTTTGTTCCTTCTCTCCCACCTTTCCCCTAAGCACTCTAAGCACAGAAAGTCCCTTGTATTAAGCTAAGAACTCACATTAATTAAATTTCAAACAACTAGACAAGTACAATATTTCAATTCCACAATTAGAAAGAAAAACATGTTTGTCACAAACTGATAATCATCAGCTAAATGTTTTGGTTCCTAGGGGAAAATTCACTTAAATGCATTGCACTTGACCAACATTTCTCTTTCTCTGCAGTTTAATGTGTTGGTCCTAAAACATCCACTAGAGAGGATACAGGTGCTATAGATGATTGCATGTATAGACAGGAATAGGCAGGAGCCTGAACATTCTATTTATTGGCTTGGCTGTTTATCCTTTAGGCTAAGGTTGTATGCATTAACCTAACCACTTCCTAGATTTATTTTAAAAGGATAAATAAAACACATGCCTAGCAATGCTAGAATTTAAATGATTCCAGGTGTGGTATTCAGTGATCATTCAGTTAGGCACCTTAAGAAATTTAATTTACTCTGTTTTTGAGAGGCATGATGACTTGCCCGAGCTACCCGAGCAGGGAAGGAAATGCCTCTCTGATGGCACATCCCAGTGTCCTCCAAAATGAAGGATGCTTGCATGGCTGGCAGCAGAGCAGCTGCCTCCACGTGACACTAGTGCCCCACATGCTCAGCCTACTGTATTTCTGTCAACAAGCATTGCCAGCAGCAGCTTTGCAGCAGAAGAGGAGCCAGTGGGACTGGGATTGGCAAAGACACAGCAAGGGAGATGGGCTGACCTGTTCACTTTCCCTGAACAGCCCTCATAAGCTGCTCAGCTGTATAACAGTGATGGCTTAGGACCAATGACCACACTGAAGACCAGGGACGATAGAAACAAGCTGCTGATTGCTCTGTTGAGCTATGTGCAGTACAAAGATATCTGATTTCTAAGTATGAAGGTTAGAAAGTAAGAGAAAGAAAAAGGATCGAGAAAAGAGATCCATATCTCAAGGCAGTGGGAATTACATCTCATATTGACAGAGTTTTTAATGGATAATTCATTAATCTGTTTTATTTACACTTGCACTAGTCATTTAGAGGTCATTTAACACCTTACTAAATTACACTGTATACAAGAGAATTCATACCAGGGATTATGCCAACAGGTGATTGCACTCCCAACCTTGCTGCCAGTCTTATTTGCTTGGAGACAGATTCCACTAAGTTGGGATCAGCATTAGATGTATAACCATCACCATATGAGAGAGCTCTACTTGGGTGCCAGGGAAAGAGAGAGGGATGTAGAAAGCATCAAGGGAAAGAATAAGCATTTTAGAGAAGGCAAAACTGTGGGGTTCAAAAAAGCATGAACAATAGTGACATCTTATTTTCTTTGTATAAATGACTTTTAGACTAATGCACTTCTATCAAGTTCCCTAGAACTGTATTAATTTTCCTGCCACCAGCTGCCACCAGCTTCCAATGTACATTCATAGGCCACTCAATCTTTGAGAATATATATTATTAGTATCTAGAAATAAAAATAAGATCACCAGAGTCCTCTCATCCGCAATTCAAACCCTATGATCTTCTCAGAATAAATCTCTTTTTGAGACTTCAGTATTCTGAAGAGCTCTGAATGCAGCCTCAAATCACCTCAGCGCCAGCTCACGTTTGGGACCTGCCCTTCCACACAGTTGCAATATCTCAGGAACAGTACTCCCCAGAGCCCACTGCTTTGCCACTTTCAATGTAGTGGACAGAACCTCCACACAGCAATCCTCTAAAACAAAATGGATGAAAATAGGTTGCATTTCCTTAGGTGTGGCTAAGCCACACATAATATAAACAGAGTTCAATTTTCTCTCTGCGTTTCATTTATCCTTAAGAAAAATATAGCCTGGTTATATTTAGCATTCTAACCCAGTCATGAGAAGGGGCACTGGGCAGGGCTCGTGGTTTCTGCAAGCAATCTGCTGATCGTGCCATGTTAGGTAAGCCATCCCCTGCACAGCCATTAATTCCTCATGAGTGAGTTCTTTGGGTTTGCTTCTCTTTACAGATCTGTCAAACTCCTCCTCTTTGTTTACCAACAGAGAGGCAAGTCTAGCAGTGTGCCTGGCAGGGCTGTTGCTTCCAGCTGAGTCCTGCAGGGAGCTGCCCACCTCCAATACAGCCCCGGGCACAGTGAGTCCTACCAGGAGAAACCAAAGGTTTTGGCAGCTACCTTGTGTCCCTTACCAGCTCCTCTTCAGCACAGCGAGGTCAGCTGTAATGGAACAGATACTGTCTTCCCCCAGCCAGAGATGTGTCAGAACTGTTCCAAGGTCTGGGAGCTGCAGGAGGAGTGCACTGCCACCAGGGGACCCTTCCAGGGTAAACTGGATTGCACCTCTCATTCTATAGCACTTCCATGCCAAAATGCACTTGTGAGCATGTATTGCCATTATTTGAATGCAAAAGTAATGCTTAAAAAACAAAGGTTTTGCCTCACCTTAAAGGCACTCCTTACAAACTTCTTACACGCTGAAGTTCCTCAGGCTGCAGCTCCCAAGCAGGGGATTCCCAACTGCTTCTCAGCACGTTTCTGCCAAGGATGAGCCATCATCACTGCTGCAGTTAAAGGGATTCACCTGTAAAACCTAAACAAAGCCTCCAGAGGGATTGGAGAACTTCAAGAACAGAGTAAAGTGCAGCTGTTTTCCTTCATAGTTCAAGATAAGAACCGTATTTTTACTTTCAGGAAATAAGTTTAATTTTTAACTTGCAAAGAACAGCATGAACATTTTTCTGACCAAAGGCAAACAAAATATCTTTCTTATATAGCAGACATGCTGATTATTACAGGTAGTCTCTGAAATCAGTACAGGGCCATCTTAATTTTCTCCCCTGAAGCAAAAGGAACTTTGATATCTGTAGTTAAGATGGAATTTGTTGAAATGGAGCTCAATAACTATTATATAAACAAGCCAAAAAATGAATGAATCTAGGGGAATGATTTGAAATAGTGAGATACATTATGAAACGTGATTAATGACACCAAGGGAAATATAAAATAACATGTTTCCCTGAAAATGTGCTGTAAGTGCACAATGTCTGCACGATATTGTGCATCTGCAGTTCTCTGTCCTGCCACCTAATATCCAAATTGTCTGCCAGTATAAACACAGCTGCTGAATGTCTTCTACAACTGCAAAAATAATGAATCTCCACTTTTCTTCCCAACTACTGAAGTATGTTTTACAGAGACGAATGCAATGTTTACCTTCGTTCAACAGAAGACGATGCTGATGCCCAACATATATGTCTTATTAACACACATTCAAATTCATCACAGATCAAAGAGACAGAATGGCTTTTTTTATGGTAACCACAGATGAGCTGAGATTTCATGTTTTTGGCTTGAATAATTTCTCATCTGGTTTCTGCATAGACATTGGCCTACTCTTCAGTGGTGGATCACCATTTTAATTATATTTGACCATTGTGACAGCTTTGCTGTATCTAGCAGGATTGAGAGGAAGGGATAAGAGACCTCTTTTATGCGAACTCCACTTTCCATGTGGTGGATTGGCCTGCAGGCTCTGCTGGGGAAGTACTATGATCCATTTCTCCCCAGCCTGGAGACATAGGTCTGCAGCAGCCAGGGGCGTGGGAGACTCCAAGTAACAATTTTCATGTTATAATACTAGTCTGGACTGTAAGAAGTAATTTAAGATAATTTACTGTGCTGCATTTACTTGAACAATTTCTATTCAGAAATGTAACTAAGGCAAACCCAAGTAAAATGGAAAATGATAGTCAGGATTTTCAAACACTGCACTCTGATCTTTGCCTAGATGTAGAGAGCATAACTGAAGGTAGGGGAGTAAGACAGGAAGAGAAATAAAGAAAAAAGGGACATAACCTTAGGAAGAGTATCAGTCTATTTATATGCTTCCTGGAATGCTCAGAACATTTAGTCTTACTGGCCACAAGAAACCACTTTTGTTGTGCAAAAGGTTTCACACATGAACTGAAGCCAGAAAGTTTTTTTCAAGGCACAGTGGGAAGGAAAAAAAAATACTGTATAGCTTTGTGAACAATGGAGAGAAATTGGTCTGTCGACCTGGTAAAAAAATTCCACATTAAAAAACAAAACAAAACAAACAAAAAAAAACAACCCCAAAAACCAAAAAACAAAAAACCAGTCACCCACCACAACCTCCTTCAGATTATTCTCATGAAAGTCACCTCTTTTGTTACATGGAAAGAAAATTGGCACCTAAACATAATCAGACATGTAAGCAAAGTACAATTACTATTCTAGATTAGTCAAAAAACTATGCACACTTTTTTTTTTTGTCAGCCCATCTCTCACAATTGATACCCATTTTTATCTTATCCATCCACCAACTCTTCTTCTTGGGATCTTGTGGGGAAAGGAATATGCCTTGCTTTTGACTTGTACACGAACTAGCAGAAGCCCTCTTTTCTCCTGGCCATAATAGCAATACCAAAGAATTATGATGAATGGTGGGTTTTCGTTTTTTTTTCCATCTCCCTAACAAAAAGCAAGACAGATCATGAACTCTAATAAAACTTCTAAAAAAAAAAGAAAAGAAAAGAAAAGAAAAATAGTCCTTACACGAAACATAAACATTAAAGATATGTTGGGGAGATTTGGTTAGACCATTATGATAAGGATTGAGATACAGCTTTAGTTTTTTTTTGGAACTTCTCGTTATCTTCCTCAGTTTTTAAACTTATTTTTCCAGATATTAACTGCAGGTTTTGTATATGACTCTGCCAGTGGTCACTCATGATCTGTAGCTGTGTTGATACAGTTCCAAGCTGCCATGTTGGGGGGCAGGAAGGGCACAAGAACTCCAATCCACTTTTTCGGCAGGTAAATATATCATAACTCCTGTATCTGAATACAGAAGTACTCCCTTTGAGCATTGTAGCTAGAAGAAAAACTGAAGTTGAACATAAACTTTCTTGCTGCTAGACTGATATTCACAGTTGGTTCTAGGAGCCCAGCTCTCTGAGTTAGCCATGAGTTTGAACACAAAATTCTTGCATTTTTGTTCAGCACCTTCATATTTTTAAGTAAAGGTTAAAGCTGGAACTAATAGTCGCTCCTGCTGAGAAGCTGTGTTTGCATGCTGAGGATGAGAACATCCTCAGGGCCAGCCCAGAGGAACAAACCTCAGCAAGCATGGCTGGCTCTGCTCCTCCAACGCAGCAAGGCTCTGGATGCTGCCACTCTGGGGTGGAATGAGGCTGTGGTGCCAGGTACAGCTGTTGATTGTGCTACAGTAAAGGCAGGCTAATGCCTTCTAAGCCTGCAGATTTATGCTAGTTGATATTTATTCTGGCATAAACCACAACAAGAATTTGACTACAGTAGCAATATGAGCAGAGGTGGGCACAAAACAGAGCAAGAAGACACAAGCTGGGAGAGTGTCTGATGTGATGCCCCAAAAGCACACAGGGACTGGGGATGAACGGTGCGGGGGTGAGTCCTGCCTTGCAGGCTGCCTAGGAAATCCACATCTGACAAGTATTCATGTATCAATTAGGAGGGAGAATGGAGGTCTTCTCCCTTTTCATGAGGACAGCATATCGTATCATGAAAGAAGGGGGATGATTGTCAGCCTTTATTCACAGTACATTTCCATTATTCATTCAGTTAATTTTTTTTAATTTTTAGAAAAGTCTCCTGCAGTTATAAATCTGGTAAAACGTATAGCTTTGCACAAAATCAGAAAAGCATGAATGTGAGCTGTCAGGGTGAAAAAGGAGGCTTGGAAGAGGGTTCAGGTCACTGGGAAGTCATTCACTTACTACGAAAAGCTGTTGGACAACTCTGAGAAAAAGCTTGCCAAAATGTGCTGGGAAATATGAAGTTGCCTGGTCTAACAAGAAAATGGTGTGTAAGCATCCCCGCAGTGCTGGTAGGAGCTGCCCGTGGGCCCTGCCCTGAGATGGCTGTGCTTGGGGGAGTTTAAAGAGCTGTACAGAGAAAACCAAACCCTGCAGAGATGGAAATCTATTCCCCAGAAAAGCTTAAGGGGAAAAAAAAACTAAAAAGGAGAAGCAGTTTTCAACACAACTGTCTTCTTCCTGCCATAACAATGTCTTTCACATTGCCAGCAAAATAAATCCAAATTGTCACCGCAAACACACACCTCTCAGGAAGTCTGCCCTCACTACTGGCTTCAAACAGTTGCCAGATTTTTGCAGTGCTGAATTAATTCTTGCCTTGAATCTCAGGGTTACAGTGAGCCACCGCCTGGTCTGTGGCGTGGGGCCGGCAGGGCTCAGGCTGTGCTCTGTCCCATCCCACCCTTCCCTGGGGATGCGGAGAGACCCAGGCAGTGCATGCAGTCCTTCCTCTGCAGCCAGTCATCTTTCCTGCACAGGCTCGCAACATTCAGAAGAAAAGTGTTGGTAGGACACCTTTCACAATAATAAGTACGAATTGCAGAGCTTCTGTGAATTTAGGTCAATGCATCACCCTTACAGCGCATTATAAATACATCAGAATCACAGCCTGAAGAAATTTTTTTTTCTTTGGCATCAGCTGCTTTTAGCTATGCCACAGATCTTTAGCAGAATTTAAACTCCAGATTAAGTATTGATTGAGTTTAAATAAATTATAATATGTTGTAACCAGAAAGCTGGGCCCTGACTGGAGCAGACAGTTTCCCTTTTTACCTCCCTTCCCACTTCAAATATTAACACATTTATTCACTGCATTATGACTGTAATGAACAACCAATTCAAAAAGGTATAATACTGAAGTAAATACTAATTTAAACAGCACCTTCAGCTACTTGACATACGAATGAAGTTATAAACCACGTATAAAATAAATACATTAGCTTAAAGGATTATGTGAACAGAAATAATTCCCCTAAAGAACTAGCTATGAAGGAAAAGTAAACCACAAACTGCACCTTCTGTTAACGTTTGATTCAATTTCCGATACACTATTCCTTTTTTTAAGGTACAAAAATATCTCCATACTGATGTCTACCAACAAACTGTAACAGAATGATACACTTTCGTATCGCGTTCAGTCGCATCAGCTGCTGGTGCATGCGGCACGTTATTTCTGGACCACTAACAGATGAGTGTGTCCTTCTAAACTATATTTAATAGGAACAGAAAACTCTCAAGAGCAGGTATTCAAAACGTAACCAAGATGTAGTTACCAAAACCGGCTGAAGAATGAAACAGGCCCAAGCAACAAGAAAACAACTGCGCTGTGCTGCTAAAAGCTGCTAAAAGAGGACAAGGGGACACATAAGGACATATAGTTTTGTGTTTGACCTATTTTGGTTGATTTAATTTTCAGATTCTGTAAGCCAAGCTCCAGTGAGTTCCTGAGGAAAAAATTCTAACTGGCATTTTAGTGTGAGTCAAACCTCACACAAAAAGTGCTTTGTGCATCAAGATAACATTGGGAGCTGTCTAGCTGCACGTACCAAAGGGCCAGTATGAACAAAGCAAAACAGAGCTGTAATGGACTTCTAATAGCAATAATACTTTGCAGTTCTGTAGTTTGTTCCAGACAGAGATCTCTGAGTGCTTTGCAGGGCATAACAAGCCTATTAGTTGGAAACTCCAGCAGAAAATGATTATTGCAGTTTTACTGATGAAGAAACTGATGCACAGAGAAATTAATGCTGTCTGTAAGATCACGCAGCCACTGGCATGCCAGTGCGTTGTCAGAAACCCCAGGCTATTTGTCAGACTCCTGCAAAAGCACTAATTCCATACTCCAAACAAACCATCTGCTAGCCAAGTTGTATGTTTGAGTAATATTTCCTTGGTTTCACAAATAATAAAATGCATCTTTTCATTTAGAGGTAGCTTATTTCCTGTTGGTATTCCTACCAAGATGATGACAGGAACATTCATTCTTTTAATGAAAATGCAGACAGTTCAGGGTATGAGAGCATTTCAGATAAAGCCCACAATTTGGAAAGAGTGACTGAAATTGCATATATCACCATATTGCATCTAGACATGCAATGTGACAAACTTTATTCCAGCTGACATGGTGAGCAATTGCCCATTTTAAGAGGCATCCTTAGAATTTTACCAGCAATATTCTCTTCAGGCTGTACACACCCTGTTATTCTTTTGACTCTGAAGTCATTCACTGTGAATAGAAGTGGCAAGCTTTGAATTTGACTTTTTTTTTTTTTTTCTAGTTGCCAATGAACAGCTATGTTATTTACAGCTTTCTTTGCATTCTCTGCTAAGGAAGATGCAATTGCTTTATTCTGAAAAATGTAATAAATGAATGATTTTTCCAAACATCTCTTTTTCTACTTAGACATTACACTGCAGTTAGAGTAAGCCAGCCCTTCTTTGAGGCATTAGTAAAACCAAGAGGCAATGGAGTTACATTTTGAAGTGGTGTACACTTCCACCTGCCTACATCTAATTTAACCACCACTGAAATTGTCTTGGGATTTAACCCCAGGGAAGCCCAACTTCTGTCTGGCTAAGCAGGGTTTCTAGAAGTGCATTGCCTCAGAAGGGTGTATCCAAAAGCCTTCAGAGATTAGCACAGAAATGCCACAAAGCCGAGTGTTTAACCTAAGCCCCATCTGCAAGTAGGACTGTGTGTCCAGTTGAGGTATGTGTCAGCCCTGGGCCACACTGAGAAACAGTGCAGAGGAATGAGGAACCGAGTTCAAAGATCAGGAAGTAACAGGAGAGAATAACAATTCTACCTGCTATGCTGTAAGAAGTAGTTGGAATTTGCCATTTCAGTGGTTTCCTTAATCCAGAATTGCTGCCCAAGGATACATGGGACTTTCTCATGACGTAGATCATATGTGTCCAACCCACTAGTTTTATGTGTTTGTTTTTCTTTTTAAAAAAAAAAAGAATAAGTTTTCTTTTTTTAAAAAAAAAAGAATAAGTTTTGTTACATGTATACATTAACTTATTATATATTTTACATGCAGCCCAAGATGATCCCTCTTGGGCTCAGTGTGGCCTACATAAGCCGAAAGGTTGGACACCTGTGGTCTGCATGTAAGCTATTATTCTGGGCAGATGAAACACACTTCAATTCAGTAATTCACCAAAAAAATCCCTATGCACCTTCTGTTATTAACCTGTAGATACTTTAGTTGGAGAACAAGGTTCTGGTAGCATATGCTTGTATTTTCCATGCATGTTATATCATGTATCATTTTCAGTAGATATATATGTGAAAACACTCAGGAAGAAAAAGCAAAAGGAATTGCTAACAGCCCTTGCAGTGCTAACCTTTTAGGGTCATGGCTCAGTGGGGTAAAGAAGACTAAGAGTTCTGCTTTTTTACAGCACGAGTATTTTAGTGATTTCTAAATGTGGTGACCTATTGCTAAGAAACATTTAGGTTTTTGAAAGGAAAATTCAGCAGCATAGCATATCCCTTTCTCTGTTCTCCTGTTCTTTAGGGGAATAACAACATTCCACATCTTTGCATAGAAAACTGTTATAATGCACAGACTCAGTCTGTAGAGTGGTCACTACAACATCCATACCTGATACTCTAAAAGTGATGTATGTGTTTATGATGCTTATCTGGTGCCTTTATTCTTAAGTCCTCTTGCTTTCTCATCTTGTGAAAGCCAAATAAATTTTATATTTATAAAACAAAGAGCAGCCACCAAGGCCTTGACATCTCAGCATTAGCTCATATTTGATAGACTTCTGCACATACTGCTGCACAAACGCAAGAGCTATGTGATGACGGCTAGCTGCATTTGAAAATTCTTTGGCCCAAAAGCCTGGCAAGAATCTGAGATGAAGTGTTAAAGCAACCTGACAGAAATCCCCTGCAGCGTTTGAGAAAAAAACTCCAGCCCTCCCTCTTCCCAGCTAAACCCTGAAACAAGGTCAATGCACTAAAAGGCTCTGAAAGTAATTTTTTATAAATAAATATCCTGGGGAATTAGTGAAGCAAGTCACATCCCTAAAATAAAGGTAGTTATTTGTATGCAAGCATTTCCTTTACATGTTGGGGGGTAGCACACATCAGTCAATGTGAGATTAAATGCAGATCTGACTGCATGCTATAGATGAAAGTAATATTTTTTTCCCAGGAAGAAAACTGGGATCAAAAACTTGAAGTAGCGAATTGTGCAAATGTACACCTAACACTAAGCCTGTAAACAGTCCCTCCTCTTCCAACATGCTGGTGTTGCAGATCCCTGAACCAGCAGTTGTAGTCCTAACAAGCAAAGTCAGTGGTGCAGCAGTAAATACAAGAGTCTACCAAATGTGAGCTGATGCTGAGATGTCAAGGCTTGGTGTCTGCTCTGCTCCCCAGATTTGGGCTCCCGGACATTCACCTCTGGTTGCCTGCTGTCAGTTGTAGAAAATGTCCCTTTCACCCAGCTGATCAGCTTTATTGCACAGTAACAATTCCTTTTCTTTCAAAAGAAACTGAAGTTTCAATCTCGTCTGACTGCAGTCAATAGCAACCATTCCTTTGGTCAACAGAGTATGACACAAACATTCACTGTAAATCTAAGTAAAGCAAGCGATGCAGGGAATTTTCTGAGGAAAAGAGTTCTTTCGGAAAGGATGTAAAAATGGAGAGAATTTACGTATTATTTGGTGACATCACTTCCAGGCTTGCACCTAGCTTAGAATGGCTTTCTGAATATTATTTCAACCCTTTTTTCCCCCAATTTAATTTTATATAGAGTCATTTCTTATACAGATTTCATTTGCTTAAAGGAGAAGAGTATGGAATAAAGGGAATCATTAAGGCACAAATCCACTTATCTCTACTGTGTCTGTGATGTTGCTCCCCGAGCAGCAGTAATCTCTTACACTCTGGAAACTTGCAGAGGTTTCTCACAGGAGAATCACAGTGTCTGAACCAGTGTGAGCACAGTAGTCGACAACTGATAGAAGTATGTGAAAGCAAAAACCCAAACAAAACAAAAGTCCAAATCAAAACCTTTGAATTTCTTTTCTGTGAGAATATCAAGTAACAATCATTTAATTGGCAAAGATATTCAGGCCTTCCTATTTTGGAGGTTATTTCCTAAGGTTTAAAATGCAACTAAAAAGCCTAGAATTCTGTATTAGCATGGCCTGATCTTCAATATTGCTTATCACTGCCTGCCATGCAGCTGGCTTGCTCTCTCTCTTTGAAAGTCTCAGATTTTTTGCAGAGAAATTATGTTTCTAACATACGATGAACATCACAGTGTTATAATCATTTTCAGAGCCACTGTGTACATTATTAATTGTGTACATGATTCTCTTGACTGACTCCATTGCACATGCTGAGATTAGTGGTTACCAAGACATCGTTATAAATTATGAGGTAAGATGGATGAGGCCAGCTTTGTATTTCTGGCTTGGTGAAGGTGTTGATAGCTTGTACTGAATGGAAATTCTTGTAAAAAGTGAGGTTGAAAAATATTCCTTTTCCTGAACTGTTAAAGTGATAAATACTAAATAAACATCTGCAAGTGAAATGGCTCCCTGCTGCCCAGCAACTACTTTCCTGAACACCTAAGAATGCAACCATGAATGCAGCCAAGTTTAGGTATGATATCCAGAGCAAAGAGGAAAGGCACAAAGCTGTGACCACTTCATAGTCTTTGAAGTGTACTCTTCTAAATTGCTAGCAGAAAGATCTAACTATCCAGCAGTCCCAATTCAGAAGATATTTGCCTGGATATTTTCAGTAGACATTACCAAATCACTCAAAGTTACTATAAAAAAAAACAAATTCAGAAAAATTGGAGTTGGACTCGATGATCTCCAGAGGTCCCTTCTAATCCCTATGATTCTATTAAAATATTTAGCAGAAAAGGAGATGCATATGCACGAACAAGCATAGCAATGAAGCATACTGCATGAAGAAGAGAATAAAATCCCCATTTTTTGTTGTCTCTCCACAGCAGTTTGAGCACACTGGGAGCTGACTTAAGACCTAGCACAGATTTTAAGTACTCTAAATAGTGGCAGCTGAAAAATAGGAAGTAGATGCATCTGGCCAATTTAAAAAGTATAAACTAGGACTGCAGAACACTTATATATGCATACAACCCTGCTTCTTATCTTGACTATGATCATGACTGTCTCCAGTATGTAGACAAGAAGCTGCTGGGCACCCTACTTCTTTTAGCTGTTTAGAAGAACTAACAGTTCAAGTTACAAAAAGCTGCAATTCTTATCTTTATAAAATATACAAACATTTTCTTATTTTATCTATGAATTGAAATGTTATTTACTGTCAATTTCTAATGCACTTCATATAATAAAAACTAAATCCTTGATCCCAGTGGGAATTTTAAGTGCTAGTGTTTCTTTTTTTTTTTTTTTCATTGTTGCTTTGCTTGTTTTATCTTTAGTAATGTTACCCATTAAATGTTTTAACTGTGGCTTCAGGAATTTAAGGAAGTCTCACTTTTGAATATCTCCATCTCTATTTCTTAAATGTTATGCCATTTTCTGAACTCTGTTAAACGAATGAAACTCTTTTATAGTGGGATATACAATTGATGCACAAATAACCATCCCATGCTAATGCTTTTGTACTGAATAAGCTAAACGGTGGCCATTTTTTTTCCATAAAACCTTTTTGAATTTTTCATTTTCACGATTTTTACGTAAAATCAGGAGTGAGTAAATCTAGTTCCAGATGTAGTGCTGTAGTGGTTAGGAAAAGATGCCACTTATGTATTTTTATCCTAGAAGTATCAATTCCCATACACTGCCCATTAGGGTCTATCAGAAATCCCCATCTATGCCACACGTAAGCAGGGCCACAGGCTGCAGGACAGAGGTCACTGATGGGGGATGAGAGCCTGACAAGGCACCGTGCATCTTTTGCAGAAGTGTTTGAGATTACGTTCTGTATTAAGGCATTCTTGAAACCAATCTTACTGATAAAGATACAGCATTCTTCATCCTTTCCTGAGTGGTTTCATTTTTAAGTCTTCTTTTTCTAAGCGAAATACCTTTACAGATTTTATATTCAGATAGAGCATGGAGAAAAAAGTATTGTTCTATTTTATCAATTTCTAATTTTAGTTCTTTTCACATTTTGTTTGTTAGGCATAACTAGGTCAACATTTTCATTCTTTCAGGTTGAAAATCCTGTCTGAAGAAAAGCAAAGCTACTTGTCATGAAGCAAAGCAAATGGTTGTGAATAATTTATAAGAAAGTAAAAATATTCTGCTTTTGAGATTTTAACAGGAGAACAACCTCAAGTTATGAATTATTATAATTACACTGAAATATGCTCTCCATCTTCTTATTCCTTTGCTGTAATCACTGCAACAATTCTTTTTGCTGTAGTGACTAGCAGTCTCCTGAGCAGCACAAACAGGGATGCTCCAGGCCCATGGCCAGTGCCCTCCAGACCATAATTTAGCTGTGATTACAACTCTGCTGCACACCTGTATCAATAGATTTATTAAGATTCTCACAGGTTTCTCATTTTATAGAAGGTAACATGTAGGTATGTAAGTGTCTGGTAGGATGTGAGGTGACAACTGCAATGTGGCTGCAACTCCAGAAGCAAAAATGGTGCTCACAGTAAATCTGGGCTCAGTAGCAAGGCAGCACGTACAGATCTGCAAACTCGCTACTCAGGTACAAAGCAACACTGATATTAGGTAGGTGGGTAAACTCTTGGCATTTGTTTTGCTCTGGCTCCTGAAGCCAGTATTCAGAGAGATTTGTTATTATAAATAAGGCTTTTCTGTGTATCGAGATGGCAAATTTGAAAAATACAGTACAGTTAAGAGAGCAGTGAGATTATAGCAACTTGATTAGGTGAAAGTTCAGTGTCATTAATACTGTTATTAAAATGTCTGCAACAAATATGTCAATTCTCTGTAGTTCC